GGTTCATCTAAACCTCTATTTGAACCTGCAATATGAAATGCAGTATCCACAATAATGGGACGTTCGTACAACGACATTAAATAAAAGATAATAATAGTCATATTGAAACCTGTAGACCTCAATGGACATTATAACTCGTACTCAAGGATATTTCTTAGCATCATTTACACTAACTCAAAATTTATGGGACAAAAGTCTCTTTATCTCACAAACATCGTTCTGGACTCAAATGATTCAATGCAATAAGTGAGGCATCGAATATAATACAACAAAGGGAAACTTACATAAAAGTGCTATAATTTAAAAATATTTACCATTTATAGTAATAATATTTTTTTTTCACTTGATCACTTTTATTTAGTTTATAATACAAGTTTAATACATATTACAAAGAACAGTTTATTATTCACATACAATACAAGTTTTAATGATATATAATACATTTATCACACATTTTAATACACTTATAATATAATGTGACTATTTTTTACCAAACAAACACAATATATTTCAAATAAAATTATAATTCAGATATATTACATAAATATTTCACTTTAATACATATAAGGAAAAATTACATAAATCAATACATTTTAAAAAATAATTACTGATTTTAGCGATATTTTTTTGTTTATTACCATTTATAGCAATACCATGATAAATCTGTAATATTTATTAAAAGTGAGTTATTTATGCAATATATTTGAATTGTAATTGTTTTTGAAATATATTGTGTTTGTTTGGTAAAAAATGATCACATTGTATTATAAGTGTATTAAAATGTGTGATAAATGTATTATCCATCATTAAAACTTGTATTATATGTGAATAATAAATTGTTCTTTGTAATATGTATTAAAATTATATTATAAATAAATTAAAAGCGATCAAGTGAAAAAAAAATATTACTGCTATAAATGACAAATATTTTTTTATTATAGCACATTTATGTAAGTTTCCCTAATTATAATGCAATCAGGAGGCATTGTTAAAGGTCCATTTGCATACAACTTCAGAAAATGTCATCAAGCTCCCTTTAATCACAACATTTATATTTAATTTACCAAATAGATTATTTGCATACTTTACATGGAAAATAATTCAAGACCCTTGTTACTTTCGGATAATATACTTTAAATTCAATTACTATAAGTAGATGAAAGACGGTTATGAACAAAGATTCGACAACTCTTACGTTACTTTCATGGTTTAACTTTTTTTATTAGCTTATCAACACCAACTTTACGAAGATTAACTCTTTATTTAATATCAAATGATCTATCGGTACATAACCATTCTAGATATCAACAAGACATTTACAATTAAAATACTGCGTACTCATAAAATAGAGTACATACAACGTCATGTCTCACAATGCCTGTCGTTGAGAAAAAAATGTACGTCACATCAAAATTACTATACAAATCATTCCCCAACCTTTCGGCCACAACAACATTCAATAAACCCCTTAAAGAAGCCTAACTTCATATAACAATTTAAATATGATTTTTCGTTCGTCTAATCGTATGCCTTAGATTACATAGCTTAACTATCACTTTAATTCACTCAACTAAATGTGAAGAGTACTGAAAAATTACCTCAAAATAACAATAATACACAGTATAAACGAGACTCATTCTCCTCAAAGAATCTCTCAATCCACAAGCAAAAATGAGGAAACATGTAACACAACCTCTACAAACTTTATAGCTAGGAATCAGGGCGGCTCAACATAATTCGAGGCCTAAAGTGAAATTTTAATTAGAGGCTTAAATTTTTTCTAAAAATTATCTGTATTTATTTATTTATTTTAAATTTTTAAATGTAAATTATTACTTAATATCTTTTCTCTAAGTGATTTTTCAAAAACTTTTTTAAAATATTATTTTTTAAGCAAGACTTTATCAATTCAAATTGAAAACATCATTTTATTGAGAAAATTATTGTATGAATCGAGAATATAGTTTTATAAGTAATAAGTTGATAAATTTTAAATAAAAATGAGAATTAGAATTATAAAATCTGATTCAAAAAGTTGATAACTTGATTATCCTACTTTAATATAAAAATTACGAAAAAATAAAAGAATATTTATAATTTACTTTAAAAAACACTTTCAGCTATTAATTCATATTTTTTGACAAAATATTACTCTAACTATCAAAGACTTGAAGAAATAGACCGCATAAGAAGTTAAAAAGATTTTAAAAAATTGAGTATTAGCAAAGAAAAATTATATATATATATATACACTTTTATTATGAATACTTAATTCTCTTTTATAAAAAAATTAAACATAACTTTTTATTTTATAGAAATTTGAGGCCCCCAATATGGCAGTGTGGCCTAAAAAATATGTGTAAGAGCCGGCACTGACTAGGAATCGCCTCGAAGCCTCATATTTTTTTTATTTTTTTTTGTATTTGATCGAAGGAAACTCTTAAATCGAACTCATAAACCTTCAATTTGCTATGTTATAATTTTTTATTACTACTTATAGATTGAGAGATGCTTGTTCGAAGATAGACACTATATGAAACTGTTTTAAAATACCATTTCACGATGAACCTCTAACTCAAACTTTTATGTTAAGTCTTTCCTTGGCCTATAACTTGGTTCTTACACTTCAAATACTTTTATATACATTGATTTAAGAAAATGATGATTTATATCCTTATTTTTTGATTTTTTGACGTCAACTTAGCAGCACATGTATGTCTTAATAGTTACGTTATTATATAAAGTGTGTCTAAATAACTAGCTATTAAATTAGTCATAATTTTTCATATCTCCTAATAGTCAATTGATTTGAAATTTTTTTTGCAACCATTAATTATGTTTATAATATCCAGTAATAGTCTAACTATTTCTTTAGCATCAAGATTAATGCATGTGTATGTTTGACCTGTATTGCTGGTGCATAAATTTCAAATTTTGAAAAAAATATATCAAATGTAAATATAATATCTATTGTACTTATAGAATTCTTTATCCATTGTTTATTGGAAATGCTTATAATTTATCTTATACTATGTATTTTCCCTATTGAATCAAATTATAATCATTTATCAAAGAAATTTCTATATGTTTTTCTGAAAAAAATATTGAAAACAATTAATTTCGCATAATAATTTTATAACACTAATTGACAAATGACCTCAATATTTGACTGAAGATACATGAGAGAGAGTTTGTTATGATTGAAATTTCTTAGAATACATTACGCGGTGAATGAGGTATTCTAAGTGGTCCAGATGGTAAAGTTTCAAATTTATAAGTTAAAATAATCTCGTTCCGTCGGAAACAAGTTATTCTAGAATTAATTATTTTGGGATAACTTATACCACCATATATATGTGATAACTTATCCATCACCGTGGTTTAAATGGTGGAATAAGTTATCTCAAACATAATAACCAAACAAGAAACCAAAATTTAATTCAAAACTATTTTTTTATCCTAAAACTATTTATTCTTATCTCTCACACCAATCCTTAGTAATATAAATTATCATCAACTAAGAAAATATTAATAAACTGGATAGAATATTCAAGTCTCTCCCTCATCAAGTAGCATTAGGATATTAAAATAAAAAAAAGCTAGAACAAAGGTATTTAGTTGTTTCATTAAACATAGAATACACATGTTAGAATTAAGAGATTAAAGATTACAATTGATGGAAGTCTACCATATGAACATAGCTATAAGAAAGTCTTAATCTTATTACAAACATTTAATGCTCAAATTTAACCACAATTTAATCAGTTTGAATTTTTTGAGCAAATAATAATAATAAATTTTAATAATGTTTTTATCAAAGCTAACATAACGATTTAAGTAAAATGTTGAATGTAACTTTGATTTTTTATGAAAATTTTAAGAAATATCAAAGTGAAATTACAAATATATTTGTTAATATCGACAACAAAAATCTGTAAATTAGATTACCATAGAGGACCTTGAATCATTTTGCATAATATAAATTTAATACTAGTCAAGGTTGATTCCATAAATTGATATGAGTACATTGGCTATTTTTTTAGATCAAAGTTCATTTGGATTGACTTAATTTAAGTGTTTGTAATTTACGATAATTTATAGATATTTTTAAAGTGTTTGAATCATATAACAATGTTTAGAAACACTTATTTTAAAGCTAAAATGCTAAAAATTAAATCAAAGGTCTTAAAATAAAAATACGAAAATATGACTTTTGATTTACTAATCAAAAATATAAAATCAATAAAAAATTAAACTTTCAATATATGTTAGTAGAAAATCTAATCAACTTATCGTATCTATGTCATTCTGGGGGAGTTTTTGGCTAAAATTATTCGTGGAGATTGATCAAAACCTAAAGCATATCATTGTATTATATAAGTGAACAAATAACATCTTTGAACTATTCAAAAAGTTGCAAGATTCATCCTCTCATTCCGGGCATACCATCTTCACTCAAGGGGTGTCAACCGACACTCGTTCGTCAGATAATTTCATTGTATACAGAGGTTAAAATTTTGGTTTAGTAAATACATATATAAGCATTAAAATCTGTTCATACAAATTAAATATTTAGTTTAGTGGTTAAAGTGTTGTGAAAATTCTTTGAGATTGTCGATTCTAGTTATTAAAATTCTTGACACCTTTAATTATAATAATTATAATACTGCGTCCGCAACTGATAATTCCGTATATAAAAATTTATACTTATTTAATCGTAAGTATAACACATATTTTATTTTATTTTTAATAATAAATAAATAATATTGAGACAAACATTGCCACGAGGTACATTTTAACCATGCACGTGACCTACTTTCCGTTAAGCATATCAACTACCGTTTGGCTTTGGCAGTTAATGAAGGACCAAAGTGCAGTAAAATGGTAAACTTGAAGTATACATTATGCTCAATGTAAATATTCAAGGACCCAGTTAAACTATCTCTTAAAGTTTAGGGACTATTTCAGTTAAAATCTTATTTCGATTACTTTATCTCTCTACGGGCTCTTCCATTTCTCTTTCGCTCTTTCTCTCTAACAGCACCGCAATATCTATCGCCGATTCAAAACCCTAGAATTCCGATAACCGAACGGCCGATTTCCGAGCTCCATTGATATCAGCCTCGACATTTAGGTAAGTTTTCTTAACAATTTTCTTCCATATCTCATGACGAGCCCTAATTTTCTCCATATCAGTGAAAATGCACTGTTTTTAATTGGACTCGATTTTTTCTGGTTCTTGTCTTTTTCCGGCCCGAGCTCAGTGAATTAGTCAGCTTTTTTCATCAGCTTTATTCTTGATTGAGTAAATCTGTGTACTATGATGCTAACTGAGTATTTTCAGATAACACATACAGTTGTTTAAAAATGATGTCTTTTTATAATTCGATTCTCTAACCTACAATTTAGAATTCTTATATGATATCTGTGCAGACGGTGATGAGCAAGGTTGTTCCAAATGAGTGTAATGTGAGTGTATGATTAGCACTAATCTGTAGGTTTAAGTGGGAATCAAGTATGAGATCCATCTTTGGAACTTCTTTGATAGCTTGAAGATAGTTGCTTTTTCAGAAAATTCTGTGATACTTTGACATCCATAATACTTACCATTTCAAAGAACAAAAGGTGCTAAAAACTGTTCGCTAATGTTTCCACCAAACGTTGCTGTCTCCTTTGAATATGATTGTCGAATTGACTCGGCTATTTTATTCGTTTATGTGTTAATTTTCTATCAAGTTCCCCAACGGAAACTAGAAGTATGTATTCTGGCTATGTAAAGATACTCAGGTGACAATAGAAATGTGGACTCTTGTCGTTTTTGTCACTTGGAATAGATTACAAGTGAACTACTGCCAAGTTTATTGAATTAAGGATCAAAAGGCACTTCTGTAAAAGGAAAGCCCTATATACAGGGATATGACAAAGTAGAGTATCTTTTACAGAAGTTAAAACAATTTTCTACAACGGTGGTGTTTGGGCCATATTGCACACATCATGAATATTCCACGGTGTACTTGCTACCACCAACACTGTACCAGGTAGCTCTGTCCATCGAGGAATAGGGGGACTGAATAAAATCACCTTCAGTTTTTCGTCTCTGATGGGGTTTTTGCTGTCTCCAATGGTTTCCTTCCACCCTATTGACTGCTAGGACACACCCCGGTGCTTTGGGTGTAAAGAAGAGCAACCTGTTGTTCATGCTAGTATGTTTTCAGAAGTTTCCAAAGTAAACAAGAAAGTTCCATGAGTATGTACCAAGTTTTTGTCAACCCTACTAAAAGCTATTGGAAATTTTCCATGAAAGTGCCAACTCTCGCACTCCCTTTTGTTGGGTAAAGCCTACATCCTGCCTTATGGCAAGGCCTACGAGGGGTTGGGTGGCCCGGGTCAGTGTCATGATCGAACATGGCGCTTGCTTGGTGGACTTAGTTAAGAAATAAACTTGTACTTTTGCTATAAGCTATAACTTTTGGTATGATGGTAATTGCTTGATCCTATCAAGTGATATCAGGGCCAAGGTCATGGATTCGATTTCCACGAGCAACTTTCTGCATGAGGCAGGTGTTGGGAGGGGGATTGTTGGGTAATGTCAACATCCTGCCTATGGCAAGGCCCACAAGGGGTTGGGTGGCCCGGGTCGGAGTTATGATCAAACATGACGCTTTTCTGGTGGACTTATTTAAGAAATAATGTTGCACCTTTGCTATAACCTAAAACTTTTGGCATGATGGTAAGGACTTGATCCTAACATCTCCTCCTTAGTGTCCAACTTAAGATCACATTGGAATCTACTATCTGATTGAGTGCTTGATTTAGTTTAGCAGCTGTTAAAACATGAACCTCACAACATTGTCTTCCTTATGAACTTGTGACTTCGCTGCTTCTTCCTTTGATTTGTGTTGATTTTGTTTTTAACTTTTTGTTAATATGGACATTTTCTCTTTAAGTTTTGTGTTTCCTTCCCTAAATCCCAAGAATAAACATGAAAATAGATAGTTCCTCACGAAGCACCACATCTGCAAATCAGCAACCAGATTTGCATTTGCCGTCATCTTCAAATTTTCGCCTTCATATGATCCTTTGGTGGCTTCAAGTCATTCATTTTTGATCCCCTAAATGAGATATCTGTCAGCTAGTTTAGGATGATAGTTGTTTTGTGGTATCTCGGATCTAGTGGAATAAAGACCTTGCTCTTTCTTCTACTTAAGATCATATGTGGTGGATCCTGAACTTTATTGTTAGCGTGAGTAGTTGGGATGGCGGATTGCCTCTTGCTGATAGTTCTTCCATTCAATTCTAGTTTAACAAATCATATTACTATGGTGGCTCAAGTGTCAATAGGGCCAAATAAAAAAATTAAGCTACTCAACCACCACAATATGGAATAAGTTGCAATTACCGTTTAGCATTATAAATTCAAATAGGTTTATCCCCGGTAAACTTTTCACAGATTAAGAAGGTGATCTAAATGTTCTGCAGTAGAAATGAGTTGTTGCAGAAGTGAAGATTGTTGGAAGGGCAACAATGAGTGAATCGTAGGGTCTTGATGAGAGGGTAGCACCTTATGATAAGAGCTGTATGGTAGCTGTATGGTGTGATGTTCTAATTGTGATTAGGGGTTTGACTTCCGTATAATGCAAAGTAAAGTGGTCACATGAGCAATAATTTTGTAGTGTTAAGTCATTAAATTTTTCTGGGACCACATGACCATGTTAAATAAGAACAAGCATCACAAATTTATTAATAATGAGGATTTTCAACTTGACCTGTGATGTGTTCTGGAGGTGTCCTGATGTATGCCACTAGTTTGCATAGGGACATTTTGAGATCATGTGCAGAAATGCATTCTTTACTAAGCTAGTCAGGGTAAAGCTCAACATGCTAGTCCTTCCATTGTATGGAATTGTAGATCTAACTCCAAAGGAAAGTAAGAATTGATTTGTATGTTAGGTCCAAATTTGGTTTCCAGTACAGCCATATTGAGAGAATTTATCCTTTCAATCCTGATGGCCTGCCTTTGACCATGTCTGGAAGGGTTTCTAGTCTTTGGCAGGCAAAATCTATCTCGAAGATGCAACAGACAATTATTATTATGCCTTAATCTCAGACTTGTTGGTTTGACTATACTAATCAATAGTAACCACTTACCCCTTCAAGCTCGTTCAATTCTGATTCTCAATGGATCATATGATAGGACAAATTGTTGTGTCTTTAAAATTAGAGATTCTCATCGTCGCACTCGACCATACGATGACATAGAATTCTTAACTGATTAAATACACTATATCAAATACCAACTATGTAAGTAGACCAATAATGTCTAAACCGTATTTGCTTCATTGTGCTCTGTTTTTCACTTTATTATCCATTTATTGATTTCTAGAGGATGTAGGTTATTAGGACAATATTGCTCCATGTATAGGGTTACATCCTCCTCTTTTAACATCTTCAGTCATCATTTTTTATTACACTAAGAGACTATGCATTTGAATGTTTGCATTAGATATGGTCTGCTCTTTCAGGCAGCCTTCTATTTTTTCCTCTGTATGTGTGCGACTTGCATCTTTTTTTTTTTTTGAAAAGTTGGGCATAAAAAGCTACATGAGGTATACCAAAACGTAGAGACCTACATAGGAATATGGTTCTCCAAGAACAACACCCAGTTGTCAATATAAAGAACTTCTTGGTGCACCAAAAACAAATAAGGGGTAAAATGCCACTTCCTAATCTTATAAAATTCATTTCTATCCCTTCAAAGACACTTCTATTTGTTGCTCTCTGAATAACTCACATAAGTGCAAATGGAGTCACGTTTCGTGCTTTTGGTAGTCTCGTTTAAATGCTTTATATTGATCCAATCTTGGATCGTTTCCAATTATTCTTTCTTTTGTTAATATCATGTTCCTCTTTTTCATCCGTTTAGGTCGTTTCTTTGATTTGTGCGGACTGTTAGTGTTGAGCTTCAGTACCTCCACTTATTCCTTATGATATCTTCTTGTAGTTTATAGAGCTTATGCATGGAAGTAGTTCATCAATGCTAATGGTCCATTCTTACATCGGATCACCTTTTCATCTGAAGTAATATCCCGAAGAACCTGACAATGTGGCACTTACAACATGCTTTTGCAACTCTTAATTGAAACTTGAATGATCTTCTTGCAGGAGTTTCAAGACAGACAGCTCAAAATAGTTATCCAAAGTGACTATGTATATGTTCTGAGTAGTACATTGATTGTAATGCCAAGTATTAGAAGATTCAGTTGCAAAATTTTACAGTCAGAGGTTGTGGAGAATCATCTATGCCTGGCAATGAATTTGGAGATAGTGTTCACAATTTTTTTGCACAAGACAGCTTGTCACAAGTACAACACAATTCTCCGGTAGCAGACATCAACTGGCCAACTTCAAGGGGCAATATGTGGGCTGGAAGTCAGAGACAAATAGGTGTGCTGAGTTCCAACACAAAAAATTACAATTTGCAGAACTCTGGTAATTTAACATGTAGTGTGCTCTCTGAATTATTATTTGCTTGCTGAATGGCCGTGTTTGATCTTTTACTTTTCCTGCATGCAGACGCTGGGAGAGGAATAATCAGTTATCCATTCAATGGGCAGCATGGTTTAAATTTTACACAGCCAATTCCGAGGCCCGAGTTTGGTAAAAGTCAGTCACAGAGCCAGCAGCCAAATTTGAATGGCTACATGTATGGTAATCAGTTTTACCAGACAAGGCAGGATGAAACAAACTTTCCTTCTGTGGATACTAGTTCTGATCAACGTAATATAGCCTCAGGAGGTTCATCCATTTTTGAGTCACAGCAATGGTTGGGTCCTGAGCAGCAGACAGGAGTATCTGTTAGATCAGAACCTTCGGATAGTCCTATCAGTGGCAATCTTTTTGGTGGTCAGCAAATCTCTCATCAGCAATCAAACATGCTGCATTCTTTGCAGCGCCAGCAGTCTGGGATTAACGACATGCAGCAATTTCAACAGCAGGTTATGTTCATGAAGATGCAGCAAGAACTTCAGAGACAACAACAAATTCAACTGGAAGCAAGGCAACAAAATACGTTGAATCAAGTTTCTACCTGTCCTAAGGTAGCATCTGATGTCCATTCCTCTGCATTAGTTAATGGCACTGCGAACTCTGGTGCATTAAATCAATCCTGGGCAAATGAGCTTGGCAACACAAACTGGTCACAGCGTGGTTCTCTAGTACTTCAAGGGTCCTCCAGTGGACTCATTCCCACCAATAATGGCCAAGCACAACACTTAATGGGTTTGATTCCTCAACAGATTGATCAATCTCTATATGGATTTCCTGTTTCTAGTTCAAGACCATCTCTAAACCAATTTTCACAAGGGGTGACAGATAAGCAACCAGTGCAGCAAATGCCAACTTTTAATAGTTCATTTCCAGTTAATCAATATACTCCATTAGCAGATCATGTCAGTGGACAGGACGGGATTTTCCTCTCTAGACAGAGACTCCAAGTTGATAATGTATTTGGAGATGCTCCAAGCCATGCTCTATCTAGTCCAATGGATGTGGAAAACCTTCAGCAAGTTGATAGCATGCAAAATGCATCAGCTCTACACGAATTTCGTGGCAGTTTGGATATAGCTGTTTCTCCAGAAACCGCACAAGAGGAAGCAGCAAAGGGAGCTTCTCCCTCACAGAATGAAGTTGGATTAGATCCTACAGAAGAACGAATTTTATTTGGTTCAGATGATAACATATGGGCCGCCTTTGGCAAGAGCCCTATGAGTGGTGAAGGTGGTAATCCTTTTGATGGTGCTGAATTGCTTGATGGAACTCCATCTATCCAAGGTGGTACTTGGAGTGCTCTCATGCAGTCTGCTGTTGCAGAAACTTCTAGCAGTGATGTTGGTCTACCGGAGCAGTGGACTGGTTTAAATATTCATGGTACTGAAATTCCTTCCGGGAGTCCCAACTTGACATACAACAGTGAGAGTCATAAAGCAACTTATGCTGAAGACAACTTGCCCCAAACCTCATCGTTGAATTCTGTTTCTGTTCATTCCTCTGGTAGCCCCAATATGAGAAATAGCTATCACAATGTTCAGGGACAGAGGTTTCCCTTTGAGCCAGGCAAGAGTCTGCAATCAGATTCTTCTCAGAGACTTGCACAGTCATCAGACGAAAATAAGTGGTCTAAGTTAGGTCAATCACAAATGTTGGGTGCTGAAGGTTGCCAGATGGTTGAGAAGACTTCAAATCTTGACAGGGAAATGACTTCAAAACATATTTCTAGTAATTTGGCACCCGAATTTGGTGGAGCTACGGAACAATACCATAAATCAGCTGGTTGGAGTGTTCTTGAATCAGCAATACCCTCTGGAGATGCAGTAGATTACAATCAGAAGTTCATTCAGGGTGAAATTGTTTGTAGGGGTGCAGGATGGAATTCTAATCCTGGCAGTAATACTACAGTTACTATGGCGCCCACCGAATCATCTGTGGGTAGTCCCCAGGCAAATTCTGAGGTCTTTGGCTTGCATAATTCTGCTGCAATACCTAACTCAAGTACCATGACGAGTGGCAAGGAAACCAGTCAGTTCTTCAAAAATAATCATCAATCTAGTTATTGGAAGAACGCTGATCAGTTTGTAAAATCTAGTGTTAACAAAGGGGAGGTCTTACAGCATCATGTTTCTGAGGACAACCAGCTTTTGCACTCATCTCGGGATATTGACGACAAAGAGGGTAAAATGCATGAGATGGAGAACAGCGATAAACAGGAGAACTCAAATGACAGCCATCGCTCTAACTTATCCCCTCATTCTTCTACTGGTGATGTTAGGGAAAATGTAATGTCAGATGCTAGGGATTCAAGGTTTTTGCCTACTGGGAAGCACAAGTTGTCTAATGAGGTTGGCCGGAGAAATTCGTGGGCTAACAAGTTTCAGCATCATCCTATAGGAAACGTCGATAAGGATGTGGCCCACTATGGACAGTCTCCGTTGGCTCAGGTTCCTAATATTGAGACCGATTTGGCAAAGGTGCTATTTCTGATAGATTATAATATAATTATGTTAATTTCTATAAACCTTTGGTGAGTAATTAAAGGAGAATGTCTCCTAATATACAGGTGCGTGCATCTGATGAGCTGACTGACAGAAAAGGCTATGGGGTGCACTCTGGTGGTGGCTTTCCTGGCGGTGCATCCAATATGTCTACACTGATAAATAGATCTATCGGGCTTCCTCCAAATACGGCTCCAAAATCTAGGTTGTCAATTCTGTTCTCATAACTTAGAAAGGCCCGTCTGGCAGGATATATTTTTTTCAGTACTCAAATACTGAAATAGTTATATCCAAGTTGAAGTTTGGCTAGAAGTTTTGGGTTTCAATTGGAATATTTTTTGAACTTACATGAAATAAGTAGTATTTTAAGTTGTTTTTTCAAGTGATGTTTCACCTTTTAAGTTTGAGAAATTTTCTCTTTCTAAATGAAATTTATGTCCAAACAGAATTCCAACTTCCATAAACCTTTTTTCAACTTGAATTTCAAACACTATTTTTGCAATTTTGACTCAGATATTGCCCATGCACATGCTTTGTTAATTTCCTAGGTACACAGTAATAGATTAAATAAGTTATCTGCTATAACTTTATATGGTTCTTTGGAGCATTCATCTGTAATCTTTTAATTCAGGATGTATAGATCTGATGCTTTGACTGGTTTTCTCATTGCAGCCCAGACATGCTACAACTTCTTCAGAAGATGGACCCATCGAGAGAGCGTGGTTCTACGGCTCACTTCAACAGTTATGAACATAAAGCATCGTCTGATGTTCCTGAAGCCGAAAATTCGGATGGATCTGCTGGACACCTCTGGCGAGGTCAGTCTTCTGCCTCTCAAGGTTTTGGTCTTCAACTTGGCCCTCCATCACAGCAGATCTCAGTCCAAACCCATCTCTTGTCATCTCAAGGCCCTAATGAAGCAGTTAAGTCTTCACATGCAAACCATTCTGTTGCCGAGGTTAGAGAGAAAAGTCGGGGTCAGATGCTCCGTCCCCATCAGACTCAACCCTCGCCTTCCCCTTCTGATCTCTTACAGCAAGAGTCGCAGCGTAACACTTCTACAATTAAAGAAACTGATACGCATACCATGTCTGGGAACTTCTCTTCAGCATTCGAATCAGCTTCTGGTCATACCTACTTGAGAAATCCGATTCAAAATCCCCACATGGTTAGGGCTAGTGGGGAAGATTCAACCAATCAGTCGATTGGTGTATCTTTTGATGAACATGCTTCCCATTCAACAGAAAGAGGAGATTGTGGCAGAGGACCATTGTCTGACGGGGCTGGCAATATACCGTATAGCCCTGCGCTCTCTACAGGAAAGTCTCAGTTAAGTAGTGCCAATGGACCCCATGGAAGCGTCTCCATTAATCGACCTTCATCCAAGGAGCCAGTGCCAGCTTCCCCATCTTTTTTAATGCCTGGGATATCTCTGCAGGATTCATCTTCCAAGAAGTTAACTAATATGCGGACCAACTTTCCACCACCACCGCACCTTTTTAGTAGTCAGTATAGCAAGGATGCTTCTCATATTTCCCAGCTGAATCAGACGAATATTACGGAGTCATCATTATCTGCTCCAGAGAGGCAAGGTGATCCAGATGCCAATAAAGGAGGGACTTTCATGTCTCAGCTTGGTAGTGGTTCAGGGAATCCTCTGCATTCTGTCGAGGGGGAAGAACTGGGAGAAAAGGAGAACATTTCTGAGCCAGTACCTACGGTAAATGTGAACTTAGTGCAGGAGATGGATGATTCACAGGGTAGAGAATCTATTGTCAAGAATCTCCATGAATCTACCTCTATGCAGAGAGATATTGAAGCCTTTGGCCGATCACTGAAACCAAATAGCTTTCCTAATCAAAGTTATTCCTTACTAAACCAAATGTGGACCATGAAAAACATGGAGACTGACCCAAGCAAGATGAACTTTAAAAGAATGATGGTACCAGACAGCAGTGCAGCTACTCAGCAAGTTCCGTCTGCTGATTCTAGAATGCTAAATTATGCTGGGCCAGATGATTTGCAGGGAAGTTTATCATTTCAACATGGAGGAAGGGTGACTCCTCACGATGTTGCATTTAGACAGGATGAATCTCAGATTGGCTCTCATAACAGCAATACTAGTTCTATTATGCCTGAGCAAACTCAGATTAGTCCACATATGGCACCATCATGGTTCGATCAGTGTGGAAGCTTCAAAAACGGGCAGATGTTACAGATGTATGATGTACACAGAGCTGCTGCCATGAAGACAGCAGAGCAACCTTTCACTCCTGCGAAGTATACCAGTGGTTTGTATGCTTTTAACTCTATTCAGCATGTAATCCATGCAACTGCTGATAAAAGTCAAATTGGTAATTTTGGGCAAAGATCAGTCGCCAACTCTGCTGGAACTGAACATTTTTCTTCTCTTCAAGTGTTGTCCATGAGTGTTGATCAGAAGAATCCAATCATGAAGCCCAAAAAGCGGAAACGGTCTACATATGAATTCACTCCTTGGTACAAAGAAATTTCTCTGGATTTATGGAGCGATCAGACAATCAGGTTGTTATTGTGCAACAACTTTGATAGATCCTTTTGCCTTGAAGCTATTTGGCTGCTTCTGTTATTCCATCTTTTGTTTTCACTTTGGTTATTATGTTATTCCAACATCATGTTTGTTGATGCATTTAATTTTCAATTTGGCAGCCTATCGGATATAGAGTGGGCCAAAGCAGTTAATAGGCTTACTGAAAAGGTGTTTTGATTTGTCTTCTAATAATCATCTTATTTGGTATTTGGTTGGCATTTCATTTCTGACATCCTACATTCTTCTGATTACAGGTTAAAGAAATTGATTCTTTTGATGATGGGCCACCAAGGCTTAAGGCTAGAAGAAGGCTTATGTTGACCACTCAGCTTATGCAGCAACTATTTTATCCTCCGCCCGCAGCAATTCTATTTGCTGATGCTAAATCGGAGTATGAGAGTGTGGCTTACTCCATTTCCAGATTGGCATTGGGGGATGCATGCAGCATGGTCTCTTGCTTGAACGCTGATACCAATATGCCTCATGATGGCAAAGAACAGTAAGTTCTACTTATTCCCCGCATGCATAGCAACTTGAAGCTTGAATGAAGTGAAATTCCTCTCTTTATGAGATTATCTTGGGTGAAGAGAGACTCTTTTGCTAGCAGCCAAGTAAAACAAGTTACTTTATAGGGTGTTTTGATTTCCAAACATGTTTCCATGGTAACAATCACAGTTGTTATCCTGCAGTGTAAGAATAAGGGTCTAACTGTTACAGCTTCTTCCCCACATAGATAGCACCTTGAGGCTTGAACAAAGTAAAATTCCTTCCTTTATGAGATTATCTTGGGTCAAGACAGCCTCTTTTGCTAGCAACCAAGTAAAGCTGCTTTATAGGGTATCTTGATTTTGCAAATGTACTTCCATGGCCAATTAATAAGCTGCTGGGAAGATTGATTCATGATCTTGTGCGCTGCAGTGTCCTTGTAACTGCCACTGTTATGCCTGCCACCACAATGTAACCACCCCCTCTGTAAACCTTTAAAGTCTTCCATCTGCTTACTGAATTCAGTCAACCTAGCTACCCCCCTATCATTCAATATTCTCCTTATAAGAAGTTCCCAGCCTTGAGACATCCACATTTCAGCTGTTTTTTTTTGTTGATGCTCTAGTTATTACTTGAGATTGATTAATTTGCATCTACAAATTGGTTGCTGAGGTCCTAATAATTTGTTTGATGTATTACTAGTCTTCCTGACAAGTGCAAGGCATCTGAGAGAAATGATAGACATCACTTCGGCAGAGCTATGGATGAGTTGATGGGAAAAGCTAGGAAGTTAGAAAGTAACTTTGTGAGGTACGTGGTTCATTTTATGCTAATAAAAGCAACTTCCATCACTAAAATTATTCGTATGTACTACATGCACAACTATTCATTATTTTTTGGTAGTGGTGGGAGGGAAAGAAAAATAGTTGAAGGAATCAAGCCATGTAAGAAATCAGGATGTCTTTCCTTGTGGCATTTGAATAGGTTCAAATAGAAGATAAGTTCAGTATTCACGAGATATTTTAGAAGTTGATTACATTTGAGCTTGGTCGTTTTATTTACTCTGATTGTTTCTCATTTTTACCTCTTTATTTGGAGGTGTCTGTAATATGATTAGAAATAGTCTGCCTGGTTAAAGCAGAACTGCACAAAATGCTGAAGTCTAGTTTGATTTCAGCTTTACTGGTCTTTGGGTACACGCTCTATTATGCTTCCAATTATCGGATTATTTTGCTGTAGTTATTACTATTAAGAATACTTTGTTACGCTTTCGTTTCCATTGCTTTTTCTCCAGTCGATTGGACTGTTTTTCCATGAGCCAAGTGTCTAGTGTAAACAACCTCCATACACCCTCTCTAGATCACACTTTGTGGACTACACTGGTTATGTTGTGTGTATGTGTAATTCTACTATCAATTAATGAACTTCTAAATTTGAAAACTAAAACAATTAGCAACCAAATAGAGAAATATTTATAAAAGAGGAAAAATTGATGATGTTATGTGAAACAATGATGAATTAGATATTGAAAAGTAGATTTGTTAGTTCTTAGAAATTCTAATTCTCCCGAGTTCTCTGAGAACTAAGAGAGTGTAATAAAAACTTTGAATAACGTTAATAGTGATTAATGGTTACTACACCTTGTAAAAACATTCAAATACGAATAAAGTTTATATAAGGTAAAATCTTTATTAGTTTTAAATCCTAAATAGTAGGACTTTCTATATAGATCAATGAAGAAAGATTATTAATAGGAATTTTTTAGTTCAACTTCAAAGTCCCAAGAATTTGAAAAATAATTCAGTTACAAATTCATTCATTGTGAACCCTATTTGCAAGGGGTAAAAAAGGCGAACAACAATTCATTTAGAGATTTTGTGTTTTTAATATAGTGTTTAAGTGCCTCACCCGTGTAGCCTAGCGATTGTTGTAAAATTTGTATGTAACTCTAACAATCTTTTAATATACCACAACTTACCCAGTGGAATCCCAGTGAGTGGGTTTGGGGAGGGTAGAGTGTATGCATACCGTACCACTACCTCATGGAGGTAGAGAGATGATTTTTGAAAGACTCTCGGCAAGTTCATCAATAACAATCTTTTAATATATATAATGCATAATTTTAAAATGTTTGTTTAAATTATAAATAAGAATTAAAGCTTACAAAAACTGTGATCTTTCTAGTTTCCCATGTTATATCTCTTTCAATTTAATTCTCATTTTTCACTAAAATAAGCAAATTATAACAAATTAGATCGGTTATACTTTTATAATATAGAATGAAGACTCATAAACCTAGTAGAGTTGTGCCACAAAATTTAGTTTCCAACTTTGAATTATTTTGGTGTCACTTTTTATATTATGTATTTCTATGACAAAAAAATAAGGACTCCTCTCAATTAGTGTTTTGGACGGCGAAAGGCGACAAGCCTCTGCCTCATAGCGAGAGGTAGGTACCAATCAATACAATTTTTTAAAATTCTTTTTATTGTGTATATAAATAACCCAATCAATACAATTTTTTAAATTTTATTTATTGCATATATAAATAACCCAAAATCTCAATAGCAATAACAAATGAACAAATAATTACTATGTTAAATATCTTAACCAATAAATAATAGTGAATAAATTAAAGTTGTATGAGTGCACTCCCTCTATTTTAATTTGTTTGTCTTGTTGTGATTTGACATATTTTAGGAGTGTAGAGTAGAGTTTTGAATCTTGTGGTGTTAAACTAAAGAATTTATCCTTGAATTTTGTGGTCTGCCAATTCGGAAAGTTAAAATTGTGGAGTTATTAAAACAAGACAAACAAATTAAAACGAAAGGAGTAATATTTTTCACAAGTTAATTTTTTAGGAAAATAAGTGTACCAAGTATATTAACACAAGCAACATATACTACAGAAAATTGAATAAATAGTTGTGTTGTAATCCCTTGTTTCCTGAAATGAAGTATTTGAAAGAAGTAATCATCATAGAAATACATTAAGAAATTCTAAGAAATGTAAAATACTGTATTTTTTCAATTGTAGGAGCAAATTGCTTTCAAATTGAAGTGGCTGAGTCGTAGTTTAGCTATAAAATTAATTAACAATATTGTGAAGTGAATCGTTTTCAGCTCGGGTAGGATAGTCTTTTTTTCTCGGGGTGTGGTGGTGTGGTGGGGGTGGTCGTGTTGGGTATTATGTTTTTTGTAAATTAGATTAGTATTTGCATTTTTCTTGAGATCTATTTCTTTTGTTAGTGGATTTGCTTTGGTATTCATCAATCTTATTTTGACTGATTTTAACTTTGTATATAGTGGTTTAAATATGGAAAGGTTTGGTGAGTAATACTTTAGTTAGTAGTAAACTAAGTTGCTCGGACTGTCTACTTATGGTGGTGTTCCTGTGTCGACACGACATGGGTGACTGACTTGGAGTACTTTGACCAAAATCGATGGGGAAAGTCTAGACAATTTTAATGATTTGTTTAATTAATACAAAAGCTAAGGTGAATTTGAAGAAAATGTAATACCTTTTATATAAAAATTTCTACGTCACTTCTTTTCCGAGATTCTCCTCAAGTTCTCCACATAATATTTCATAATCTAGGTTTAATAGCTCTAGGTTTAATAGCTCTGTTTTTAGATATTTTAATTATTTTAAGGCAAATCCCCGCACCCGTATCCATATATGGATCCATATCCCCGAATCTTGAAAATTTAAACATGAAAGATCCAACCTCTAGACCCGCACCTGTATCAGACACCTGCACTTGGTCCAAGCAACTTAGGTTGTAATATTAGAATTGCTTATATAGTTCAAATAAGGAAAAGTTTGTTAACAAAATTATTTTATAAGTTCTATATATTTGAGAAATAGTTAAATGACTACTTTGTCTAGTGAGAAAGCAATTTTTAAAGGCTAAAAAATCGCACACCATCCCATTTAGCTAAGAGACTTTGTGCATTAAAATCTCTTAGTTTCTCGCCACTTGCGTATGCCCTAGCCATGTAGTTCATCCTAGTGTAAAATAATATCTATATAATTAATTTTTTTTGAGTAAATAATACACCTCGAAATCAAAGTACAAGTTTTTATCGACGATTAAGGTGATTGTCGTATGGAGACTTGGTTGAGATTATTATAATTGGATATTGTCTAAATCTATGAAGATAAACAATCAAAGCTTAATGACAGACACATTTTGCAATTTTCAATGATTAATAACAGACACATGTGTAAACACTTCAACTTCTCTAACCAAAACTTCTATCAATACATTATATATTTTCTTAAAATAGAAGGCATTAAAAGTCACACGATTAATCTTCTAATCGAGTAGATATATGAATATAGGAAATTTACCTTGTTGAACTTGTAACTTTGAATTTATTTCTTTGGCAATACTTTATAGAGTAATGCTTTTCAACTCAACTAATAAAGAAGCAAAGACATGTAGCACCTATTCAATAAATTTGATAATTAATGTTAAAGAGGCAGACAAAAGTGAGTTGCTCGTATGGTAAGCAACCTTCACTTTCAACTTGAAGGTTGTGAGTTCGAGTCACTAAGAGAGCAAAAGGGTGGGAGTTCCTAGGGAGGGCTAAACAAAATTGCCAAAGAGGCACAACCAATGACTCAAAGCTTAATTTTAATTTTAATTTTTATGAAAAGGGAAACCCACATCTGCTATCCTTTAAGTGCGCATTGGGTAAATCCCGCTAGTTGCTCAGATGGTAAGCATCCCTACTTTTAATTCGAAGGTCTTAAGTTCGAGTCACCATGGGAGAAAAAATGCTTGGAGTTTCTAGGGAGAGGTGTCGAAGAGGCACAACTAATGACTGAAAACTCATTTTTATGACAAGGGAAATCCGCAACCACTATCCATTGGGTGTGCACAGGATAACCCCCGTTTCTATGCAAACCCAATGCGTCGAAAAGCTTAATTATAACATGATATCAATCTCAGCTATTCATTTAGTTTTGGACATCCAATATATAAACCGATACACTTGACTAAATATTAGTGAACTAAATATTGAACTAAGCACAAACTAAAAAGGACAATTTTACAAAAATCAAATGAGGAAGATAATTGATGACCTCTAACCCGATCACACAAATACACGTCTATAAAGTACAAAGTTGCTTCCCATGAAACAAAAATAATCAATAATAATAAATACTTTCTCCCTCTTTCCCAATTTCAGTGTCTTACTTTTGTTTTTGTTACGTCCCTAAAAGTATATCTCTTTCTATATTTAGTAAGTTTTCCTATTCCAACATTCTAGCAAGCAAGTTCTCCACAATATTTAAAGGAATACCCACCCATTTAATTTAAGACCACAATTCAAAAGTCTCCTTTTGTTTCTTAAACTTTGTACCCAATCAATTTAAGACACTTAAATTGGGACGGAGAGAGTACAACTAGTATCATTCATGGAATGATTGAAATACTTGAGAAAAGTGATAAACAAAATAGAAAAAAAGCAATTGAAAAGGTAATTCATATATACATACATATATATAGAAAAATATACATAGGAGTGACGCTATAACATCTTTGAAGTTTAACGTCCATCTTTAAACATTTGTAATGATGAGCAAAGCTGACATCTTAATTGGTTAAAAACTGAGATCATGTTGTACATGTTAATAAGTTGCTTAGGGATCATCCCGTAACCAATATTTATTAAATGTTGCACAAATCTAAGAAGAATAATATGTAGCACAGTGAAAAAACAGGGAAAATGATCAAATTAAAGCAGAATGTGAGGAAAAAACAAGGCGAAGACTTGCAACCCATATCTCTAATCAACAATTGTCGTGCAACTTATATACTGTAGCTTTCTCTCCGCCTTGCTCAAATCTTAATCTGGTTCATATAATTTGTGAAAATATTCAAGGTCCAATATTTTTGATGTTGGGCTTGTGAAATCTGGAGAAATCAAACAAAGCTTCTCTGGAAGAGGGACATCATTAAGATTGAAGTATAGCATTGTTTTCTACCACATTCAGTTTTTGTAATTTCCTTTATATGTTTGACATGCAAATTTTTTTATATGATCAGTCCAACCTAGGAATTCTTGGCAAAACGATTAACTTCAATAGTTTTGGGTTTGAATGGTTGTTTGTTCAAAAGAGTACGAAATATGGTCGGAAGAGTTTGTTGCCGTAGTTTTTTTTTCTTTTGTTATAGCAAGTGTGTTAGGTTTTTTAGATTAGAGGGACATTTAAGTAATTTAACTTTTCAAGTTTGGATTCATGCCTTTAGTATAAAAAATATACATAGATATAGATATAGATTATCAACTAGATCTAAATTCAAAAGGACAAGGACACATGGAGGTTTACTTAGACTTGGAAATCACATCTTCTCTAATGATTTAGCGCATCTTCGAAAATTGAAAGATGTGGGTAAAAGTTCTTTTTATGATCAAATCCGCCTTTTCTCACTTCACCAAATGAAGAAAATTGGGCTAATTAGGACAAAATCTTCGAGAGTGCATATTTGCTTTGCCCTACACTTCTTCAATTACACCATGTGCATGAAGCTATCTAGTCTGTTCTGAGAAAATTAACACTGCCTTTCTTTTTTAATCAGTAACTCTGCTGCTGTCCTTATATCTGCTTTCTATAAATGCTTCCTATTAATATAAGTAGTTCATTTTATCTTTGATGTGTTACTGATTAGGACACTTGTCAATTCACATAGCTCTGATTGTGCTGCCACTATATGGTGCAGTTTGGACAAGAGAGCGTCTCTATTAGATGTGATAGTTGAAGGACAAGAGCTGGAGAAGTTCTCAGTCTTCTATCGATTTGCAAGGTTTCATGGTCGGGGGCAATCCGGTGGTGCTGAGTCATCTTCAACAGATGCTTCTGCACATAGCCATAAACCTTTTCTGCAAAGATACGTAACTGCGTTCCCAATGCCTCAAAATCTCCCTGATAGGGTACAATGTCTTTCACTATGATCATTGATTTAGTTCATATTTTTTCCGCATTCTCGTCATCAATCCACTAGCTCCACATCCCTTGGAAGTTTTGTTGCTAATTATGTACTGGCACTAGCAGCAGCAGAAATAGAGCCACATAAAGATGCCATTGCAGAAAGAAATGTCTCTAAATTGCTACCTCGAATGCAATATAGGCAGTTCAATTTTTGCATGTAGGCCAATTATGTCGATTGTCAAGAAATGTTGTTCGTTCCCATGTGTCTCTCTCCATAGTTAGAGATAGAGAGATGTCCATATGTAGTTAGTTCAGTGTTGTGAATGTAATGATAATTGTTTAAGGTCAGGTTACAGTGTACTTGAATTTCACATCTTCTAGGTAAATATATTATGCCTAGGCTTTATCGTAGTAGGTAAATATGAATGTCAGCTTTGTGAAGTTGTTTCTGTTGCCTGTTTGTACCTTTTTGATACTTGGAATCCTCCTCTCCTGCGGACCCTGCAAAGAAAGGATTTCTTTATACCAGTAGAATCCCTCAACAGCCGTTAGCAACATCAATGCCTGGGTTTTTCTCTGGTCACTCCTGCTTCAGGCTAGGAATGGTCACACATCAAACCAGTCTTTGGAATTTACATGGTATGAATGGGAAGAGATTTTTGGCAGGTATGACTTAACATTATGTTGCGCATGGTTGCTTACAGAACGCCAAAGGCGTACAAAATTACTCGAGATATCGAGCATTTTAGGTCAATCTCTATCTCCATTTTACTTGAAATGACACTCTTGGAGAGTATTGTGCTCATCTCAATCTCTATCTCCATTTTACTTAACGTGAACTGTTCATAACGTTATTAACTGTTTGATTTACCAGAAATCAGGTTGCTGCATGACAGCATCTTTTTAGATGCGTGTGTTGGTGCCTTGGTAATGTAATGATTCATCTCCCAAACAGCAGGTTTTGGCATAACTACTTTGCACCAGTCCATTTTTAAATGGGCGGGTCACTTCAACAAGTTGGTCGGGCCATGTTTGTATGATTTAAAATCTTGTTTTAAACGGTTAATAAGGAAGTTCGTTTAATCTTTTACTTTAAGTTGGTTATTTGCAGAGAATGTGTTTAAATAATTGTGCTTGAATCCAACATCAAATTGCACAATGTTTTGCAGGAAGAGTTTGAAAAACTAGTTCATGTGCAACTAATGTGTCGTATAGTTTATCGCAGCAGAAATATAATTGTTGCTTATGGTCGATGGTACCAAATGAAATTAGGTCAGAATTTATGAAATGTTATGTTTGATAACAATCCCTCGAGGCATTTAACCCATGATGTGATTATTGAGGTCCTAATTGACTTCGTTAGGAAGAGTTACTCTGAATTATTATTGCGTTATTTTCGTCGTACTTTTGAATTGTTGACCGGTGTCCTTTCATTATCGGATTTTCGATCAATTTTATGAAGGATTCCTTTCTTTGTAAGATTGTAGGCGCTACTAAATATTTATTTGCATGCGGACAAATGAAAGCCACGCAGAACTAGTGACAACTTGTTATGAAGTAATTGTTCACTACCTTGAAAATGAAAAATTAAATTGCAAACGGTTTATCAGAAATAATGACTACTTGGCATGAATAAGGTTTGCCTATACATTATCTTCTTCGAAATTTATTTGTGAGATTATATTGGGATATGGGATTATCACCTTTTAAGGACTTTTGTTTTCACTAATGGTGAGATTTTATTTAAGCCTCCTTTACCAAGAGGCAAGTTCTTTGTTGTTATATTGTCATTTGAATCTTTTAATAATCCTTTTCTGGATTTCGTTTGAATTAAAATAATAATTTTTTTCTTCACTTTATTTGAAATGTTTGATCACGAAAATTTTAAATTAAATCTGAATTGTATTTTACATTTGAGAAATAGTTTATTACATGTTTTCCGATTCACTTTCACTTTTAAAATTATACTTATATACCTTCCATTATAAACATTATTCCAAAGTTTCTTAAGTATTCAAAAATAAAATTATTTTAGGATCAATAAATTTATACTTTCTCCGTTTCAAAAAGAATGACCTATTTTGAAAGATTTTTTTTTTATTTTGTGGTTCTAAATTAAAGTTATGTCAAATGTATCAAAATGTCTTTTAATTTTGTGATTTTAAAAATGTCACGTGAAAAATTAAATTAAAGTGTTATCAAAAAATGAAAAATGTTATTCTTTTTGATATAAATTAAAAAGGAATTATTTTTTTATACCGAGGGAGAAACTGTTTACTTATTTTTATTTATGGCATATTACATGAGTCAAAAAAGTGATTGACCATCGCCACCAGGACAACTTCCCCAATTCTCGTCTTTCAACAAATTAATTTCCATTATACAAATACGGTAAATTCAAAGATCGTCGGCGAGATTTTTCCGGCGAAGTTGCTTCAGCACGGTATCCTTCTTACACACAGTAGTGAAAAATTTGCCTTTATTTTTACATAAAGTACCGGAGAAATTGCTCTATTCCTGCTTAAAGGTTGCAGTACTGTTGCTCAATGTAGTGCTAATGTGGGTTTTTATGGTTGATTCTCTCGTTTTGGCTTAATATAGTGTATAATTCATTGAATTTGAAACATGGACCTGTAAGAATTTTTAAGAAAAAAGAGAAAAATATGGAGAAAATTGTCTTTTAAGTTTGAGTTGGGTCAGAAGAATCACCAAGTAGTTTAGTGAAAGAAAAATGTATAATATTTGTAATTGTTTTGGTTGATATTTCTTAGGATGATGATACTTGAAAACCTTATTAACCTTATTTAAGCGTGAAACATAGGTTTAGATTATCATTCTGTCAAGGATTCTCTGAGTTTTGTGTTTAACCAGGTAAAAATTCATTTATCAGAACTAGAATCAGGCTAATATTGTTTTGTTCTATAATGGTGGTGTCCAGGCCAAGCTTGTGCACACCTTGACCAATTCCACGGGGTACATTATGCTTATACCATAGAAGATAGAGCTTTGTTCTATAATGGTGGTGTCCAGGCCAAGCTTGTGCACACCTTGACCAATTCCACGGGGTACATTATGCTTATACCATAGAAGATAGAGCCTAATGTTTTCGCCTACACTAGTATTTAGATGTGAGAACTTGTGGTTCTCAATCCACTTTATTAGCCACTAGATTCACTATCGAGCTAATATTTAACAGCCCAGGAAACACGTATTGATCTTTCGTGATAACTTTGATTTATTCTTTTCCTGAAATATCATTGAAGAGAACTACTTTCATTTTGATTATTCACAGTAGCCAGTCCTAGAAGATGAGGAGGCAGCTGATGACGTCGTGGCAGCTGTTCTGTACACTTATAATGGTAAAGCCGGTTACTTCAATTGAAATTTGACCTTCCACTAAGACATGCTTAATAGCGAACCTTGTAATTTATCTTCTTCTGAAGCTTCAATCCTTGTGTAGATTTTTAGGCCCTTCGAAAAGCCATTGCGGGATAAGGCGATGGCAGTTGCTGGAAGAGTTGCTATAATGGAATAGCTTTGAAAACTTCTTGTCCAGTGCGTTTTCAAGTTCTTAGCACACCTCTTGATTCTGATCTGAAAATGACACTGGCTGTACACCTGAGCTTGTGGCACTCAGATGATGTTCAATTGCATTGGGAAACGATGCAAAACAAAGGAGGATCAATTGTTAATATGCCTTCCTTCTGCTTTGGAGCTGGGATGGCTGCTGGAATTGGTGCTCTGATGGTTAGTATTGCCAGGAGTCATGCTCAAGCATTTGGCAATAAGAGGTGACATTTATCTCTAATTCTGACTTAAAAACGGTCTGTGATGTTTCTTTTTGTGTTATGCTGCTAGTTTTTACCTCGGCTCTGATCAATTAGCCTAGTCTAAAGCTGTTATTTCAAAGTATTAGGAAAGCTCAAATCGGTAGAAATTTCAAGTGGCTGAATATTATGAGTTCGTATTTACTGAACGACTAGGGTTGTATGAAGATCCATAGATGATATAGTAGTTAGAGTCAGAAAAGTAGTTTTCCTATTTCTCTGTCATACCAAGATGATGTGAATTTTGTTCTCGTGCTTCATTTACCGCTAGACCACACCTTTAGCTTCTTCTTATGTTCCTTCCTTGTTCAATGGCCACTCAAAAATAGAGAACTTATTCGAAAACAAAAAATCTTCTAGAAAAGATCATAAATTATATTTATTGAAAACTACTCATTTTCCAAAATACAATTGCTAAAAATTATTCTTCGCTTCAAATGTCTGACCAAATCGCCAGTTAGCAGGAGCAACATTATCAGATTGAACCCATTTGCCATCGCTAGTTTGTACTTGGAAAGACAAGCTTTGTCCTGCTAACTGCTGAGAAATCTGCCAATTTTGTCCCCAATTCCGTGACATCTGTGCCCATCCAGTCTTAGATCCTTTGATTTTGACACTGACAACATCTCCAACACCTCCCACATTGAAAACAAGAACAAGAATCCAATTAGAATTCCCTTTGATTTCAAACTTGAGACCTCCTTTTTTCTGGCAAGTGACTCTTCTGTAAACAACAGGGACAACCCCTGCTTTGTACTCGGCAATCTTTAAGAACATAGGCAATGACAGATCAAAGTGTTGTTGTGGAGGATTGCACCAAACGTCATGAGTTTTTGTGTAATTTGGAGGGCAGAAATTGGTGGCAGTTATAGTTATGACTTGGTCTGGATGGCATGCTTTAGGAGCATTGACACACTTTATTTGAAAGCAAGCTCCACAGGTAGATCCATTGTTAAAGAGTGCTGTGCTTAGTGCCGCTGTTTCCAGGCCATACCCTTGCTTGAATAAGTTTCCATAACCACAAGCTCCTTCTGCAATATAGTATTCAAATAAATTTGTTATAACGTTAATATCTATGTTATGAAAAAGCATCATCAACAACAACATACCCGGTGGAATCCCACAAGCGGGTTTCTGGGAGGGTAGAATGCACGTAGATCTTACCTTATCTTGTGAAGGTAGAGAGATTATTTCCAAAGTACCCTTGACTCACACATTATGGAAAAAATACATCTTTGGCCTTTGAAATTTTTTTCATTTTGGACCATAAAAAAAGTGCTAGAAATTTATTTATATTAAAATGAAGGGTGTATAAAAGAAAACGTAAATGAAAATAAAATAATTTACTTAGTTAGTGAGTTTAATTAGATTGTCAATCCTAAATCTGGATAGAGGAAGCCTACAGTAGGCGAAATGTGATGGAAAATTCATTTTTTGTCTTATATGTTGCAACATATCTCAACATCGCGTTGTAACATATCTTAACATCATGTTGTCGCCACATAGAAGGAAAGGTAGTCAATTGAACAACTTTAATAGAAAATCTGTATATATGCATATATAAATATTCAATCTCAAATATTTTCTCAAAAAATATAATTTCTAGCTTCTCTGTCTGGAGTCTCGACACTATGATAACTATCTCAACAACATACATAAGGAACTAAGGTACAATGAAAACTTACGCATGGTTTCATTACCCCCCATGTCACCATAAAATGTAGCACGTGCATTTTTCCATCCCTGGGCATCCAAATTTCCTTCAACCTCTTTACTTTCATATGTTTCTGCTAAAAAAATAGCAACAAACGTGATAAATAAAATGAAGAAAATTTGGTGTTTGGCCATTTTAGCTATAACTTTTTTTTCTCTCTAAACTAGTTTCAACTCGCTGGTTGATTTGCTTTGGACATACAATTTATAGCCATAATATTCTCTTAAGATGGAACTCAAAATTAAGTCCCTTAGAAAAAAGGGAAATTACATTAATGAAAATAAATATTGTAATTGGATATCATGGAGTTTATTTTTGGAAAGTTAATTAAATTACATGCCATTCTTCCCAATTAATTAGTATTTGCATTTAAGTGCTTATATAAGTTGTAAGTAAGCAAATCTGCATCAATTTTATTTTGCCAAAAGAATTTGAGAGTTAATTACTTCCATTTGTCTTGTAGTTAAATGAGATAAGTAGGATTAGTCGAAATTTAGTGATTTGTTACCATGTAGTTTGAGTCTTTAATGTAATCAATAGAGTAAAATAAAAAAGAGAGTGAGGAAGTAGGCTTGTCTTAATATTACTCCTTCCAATGCAGAATAAGTGAATTTTTGAATGGTATACCCATTAAGAAAAAAAGTTTAGGACATAAATAAATATCACTTTCCACTTTTGCTCTTTTGGTTATTTTCAAACTATTCTTGAAATAATTCAAAGTAAATCATAAATATGAGCAGTTAACTCTCTTGTAATCATTACCTAGAGGATGTAACTCAGTGGCAAAAATGGAAAAAATTTCAAACAAGTCTCTTGAACTTTGAACAAGTCACTTATTTTGAACTAAGAAAAAAGACTTCACAATTCACTTATTTTGAAATGGAGGTAGTATCACTTTTTTCATCGAATGATTATGAAAAAAAACGATACATATATTAGTGGATATTGGTAAATATCAAAGTATTAATATTTAAAGTCATTATTATTTCAATGCAAAAAGTCTCAAATACTTGAATTCAATTGAGAGATCTGTAGTTAAATTATGCCAATTTCTTTGTAACAGGTCTTTTAATCATCATTGCTGCTATTTCCCATTTCATGAATGAAGAAATAGTGCTAATTTAAATGAAATCTTCCTGAGAGTAGTGCATATTTGCTTGCCCTGCACTTCTTCAATCACAGCATGTGCACGAAGTTATTTAGTCTGTTCTGAGAAATTCAACACTGCTATTTTTTTAATCAGTAACTCTGCCGTTGTCCTTATATCTGCTTCCATAAATGCTTTCTATTAATATAAGTAGTTCATTTTATCTTTGATGTGTTACTGACTAGGAAACTTGTCAATTCACATGGTTCTGATTTTGCTGCCACTATGGTGCAGTTTGGACAAGAGTGCACCACTATTAGACATGATAGTATAAGGACAAAATCTGGAGAAGTTCTCAGTCTTCTATCGATTTGTAAAGTTTCATGGTCGGGGGCAATCCAGTGGTGTTGAGTCATCTTCAACAGATGCTGCTACCGTAGCCATTTTTCTGCAAAGATATGTAACTGCACTCCCAATGCCTCAAAATCTTCCTGATAGGGTACAATGTCTTTCACTATGATCATTGATTCAGTTAATATTTTTTCTGCATTCTCGTCATCAATCCACTAGCTCCACATCCCTTGGAGTTTTGATGCTAATTATGTACTGGCACTAGCAGCAGCAAAAATAGAGCCACATAAAGAGACAATTGCAAAAAGAACCGTCTCTAAATTGCTACCTGGAATTCAATACAGGCAGTCCATATTGCATGTAGGCCAATTATGCCAATTGTCAAGAAATGTTGTTCGTTCCATGTGTCTCTCTCCATAGTTAGAGATAGAGAGATGCCCATATGTAGTTAGTTCAGTGTAGTGAATGTAACGGAAATTGTTTAAGGTCAGGCTGTAGTGTACTTGAATTTCACATCTTCTAGGTAAATATATTATGCCTAGGCTTATCTTAGTAGGTAAATATGAATGTCAGCTTTGCGAAAATGTTTGTGATGCCTGTTTGTACCTTTTTGATACTTGGAATCCCCCTCTCCTGCGGACCCTGCAAAGAAAGGATTTCTTTATACCAGTAGAATCCCGTAATAGCCGTTAGCAACGTCAATGCCTGGGTTTTCTCTGGTCACTCCTGCTTCAGGCTAGGAATGATCACACATCAAGCCAGGCTTTGGAATTTACATGGTATGAATGGGAAGAGATTTTTGACACGTTTGACTTGACATTATGTTGCACGTGGTTGCTTACAGAACGCCAAGGCGTATAAAATGACTTTGAGATATCGAGCATTTTAGGTCAATCTCTATCTCCATTTTACTTAAATTAACACTCCTGGAGAGTATTTTGCTCATATCAATCTTTATCTCCATTTTACGTAACGTGAACTGTTCATAACGTTATTCAATGTTTGATTTACCAGAAATCAGGTTGCTGCATGACAACATTTTTTTAGATGTGTGTTGGTGCCTTGGTAATGTAACGATTCTTGCCCAAATAGCAGGTTTTGGAATAACTACTTGGCACAGGTCCATTTTTAAATGGCTGGGTTGAAATGGGTGGGTCACTTCAACAAGTTGGACAGGCCATGTTTGTATGGTTTAAAATTTTGTTTTAAACAGTTAATAAGGAAGCTCGTTTAGAATTTTACTTTAAGTTGGTTAATTGCAGAGAATGTGTTTAAATAATTGGCTTAAATCTAGCATTAAATTGCACAATGTTTTGCAGGAAGAGTTTGAAAAATTAGTTCATGCGCAACTAATGCAATGTTAGTTGTGCAATGTATAGTTTATCGCAGGAGAAATAGAATTATTGCTTGTGGTCAATGGTACCAAATGAAATTAAGTCAGAATTTATGAATTATTTTATGTTTGATCACAATCCCTCGAGGCATTTAATCCATGAGTGTGATTATTGAGGTGCTACGTGACTGTCGGGAAGAATTTCTCGGAATCATTATCACGTTCTCTTTGTCGTAATTTTAAATTGTTGAGTGGAGTTATATCTGCTTCCTACTAATACAAGTAGTTTAAATTTTATCTTGGGATAATGCCCAAGTACCCCCTCAACCTATGCCCGAAATCTCAGAGACACACTTATACTATACTAAGGTCCTATTACCCCCTGAACTAATTTTATTAATAATTTTTTACCCCTTTTTAGCTTACGTGGCACTATCTTGTGGGCCCAACGATGGTTGACTTTTTTTTCGAACTAGTGCCACGTAGGCTAAAAAGGGGTAGAAAATTACATATAAAATAAGTTCAGGGGTAATAGGACCTTAGTATAATAGTATAAGTGTGTCTCTGGGATTTCGAGCATAGGTTGAGGGGGTACTTGGGTATTTTCCCTTTTATCTTTGATGTGTTACTGACTAGGACACTTGTCAATTCACATGGTTCTGATTTTGCTGGCACAATGGTGCAGTTTGGACAAGAGTGCACCACTATTAGACATGATAGTGGAAGGACAAGATCTGGAGAAGTTCTCAGTCTTCCATCGATTTGCAAAGTTTCATGGCCGGGGGCAATCCATTGGTGTTGAGTCCATCTTCAACAGATGCTGCTGCACTAGCCATAAACCTTTTCTGCAAAGATACGGAACTGCGCTCCCAATGCCTCAAAGTCCTTCTGATAGGGTACAATTTCATTCACTATGATCATTAATTTAGTTAATATTTATTCTGCATTCTCGTCATCAATCCACTAGCTCCACATCCCTTGGAAGTTTTGTTGCTTATTATGTACTGGCACTAGCAGCAGCAGAAATAGAGCCACATAAAGACGCAATTGCAGAAAGAACCGTCTCTAAATTGCTACCTCGAATGCAATATAGGCAGTCCAATTTTGCATGTTGGCCAATTATGCCAATTGTCAAGAAATTTTGTTCATTCCATGTGTCTCTCTCCATAGTTAGCGATAAAGAGATGTCCATATGTAGTTAGTTCAGTGTTGTGAATGTAACGGTAATTGTTTAAGGTCAGGTTATAGTGTACTTGAAGTTCGCAGAAAATATATGATGCCTAGGCTTATTTTACTAGGTAAATATGAATGTCAGCTTTTTGTAAAGTTGTTTCTGTTGCCTGTTTGTACCTTTTTGATACTTGGACCCCCACCCCCACCCCACCCCGGTGTACCCTGCAAAGAAAGGATTTGTTTATACCAGTAGAACCCCTTAACAGTTGTTAGCAACATCAATGACTTCTCTGGTCATCACACCTGCTTCAGGCAGGGAATGGTCTCGCATCAAGCCAGGCTTTGAAATTTACATGGTATGAATGTGAAGAAATTTTCGACAGGTTTGACTAAACATTATGTTGTGTGTGGTTGCTTACAGAACGCCAAAGGCGTATATATGACTTGAGATATTGAGCATTTTAGGTCAATCTCTATCCCTATTTTACTTAAAATGACTCTCCTGGAGAGTATTGTGCTCATTTTGCATTCAAGCAATGTGAATTCAGTGATCTGTTTTTATAAGGCTATTAACTGTTTGATTTACTAGAAATTAGGTTGCTGTATGACTGCATATTTTTAGAAGTGACTGTTGGTGCGTTGGTAATGTATGAATTATGATTCAACTCCCCAAAGCAGGTTTTGGAATAACTACTTGCCACCAGTCCATAAATGGGCGTTTAATCAGGCCATGTTTGTATGGGTTAAAATCTAGTTTAATCGGTTAGTAAGGAAGTTCATATAAAATTTTACTGTGTAAATTTACCAATGTGAAATGTTCATGACTCTACTAATGTAAACCTTATGTTGTGGTTTAATTGGAGAAAATAATTGCATCAAATTGTACATTGTTTTGCAGAAAGAGTTCTAAAAATTAATTCACACGTAACTAATGCAATGTTTAGTTTATCACAGGAGAAATATTTACCAATTAAATGTAAATTACTCCTCCGTTCAACTATTTTTAAAGTTAAATTAGATTAATTTGATACTTAAACAAAAATTTATATTTAAAAATTATACAAAAAAATCCAATAAATTGTACATCATAAAATATTTGTCAAATTTTTATAGTTGGACTCTAAAAAGATAAGTTATGACAATTAAATAAACAGAGAGAATAATATAATGTATTACTCTATTCACGTTTCACTTTTTAAATTGTATTTTTGTACATCCAATCATAAAACATTATTCAAAGATACTTTCAAAAAATAAAAATAATTAAACATAAACATTATTCAAAGATAACTTTCAAAAAAATAAAAATAATTAAACATAAAAATATTTTAAGGTCAAGAAATCTATAACTTTTTTATTTATTTTTATATATATGCCATATTACATAAGTCAAAAAGTGATCGACCATCCTTCGCCACCAAGACAACTTTGCCAATTCTCCTCTTTATACAAATACGGTAAATTTAAAGATCGTCGGCGAGATTTTTCCGGCGAAGTTGCTACAGTACGGTGCCCTTCTTTTTTATCTCTAACACAGACAATAGTAAATATATGTGCATTACTTTGAACTTGCTAAGAAATTGATAGGTGTACTGCAGACTCTCCAACTGTATTTGAAAATTTTGCATTTTCTTTTTTACTCCAAGCAACGGAGAAATTGCATTGCTCTGTTCCTGCTTAAATCGGTTGCAGTACCGTTGTTCGTTGTAGTGCTGATGTGAATTTTTACAGTGGAATCACTCGTTTTTTGTCGTAATTTAGAGTATTTCCATGAAGCATCAATAGGCGGCCCGTAAGTATTTTGTTAGGAAAAGACTAACAAAATATTTCACTGGTTATCCATTATATTGTATCGTTACTATGCCTACTATATTTGTTTTGATAGTTAATTGCACCTGTATTGTTAAATTTCGTTGCCCGTAATAATGAAACCCTATTTTATGGAACAACCAATTTGGTGTGTTTCCATTGTTACTTAATTTCTTTTATAATTATATCTTTACATAATATTTCAAAAATACTATTTTACCCTTAACCTTTATTATTTAAATCTAATCAAATCTCCTATCCTAGAATAATATTTTAGTAAATTTATAAATTACAATACAATTAAACCAACAATTAGCAAACAATATCCAAACATTATATCTATTATACAATACACTACAATAGAATACAATACAATACATTATGAAACAATGAGTAACAATGATCCAAACAAAGTGTTAAGTTAGAGTTGGGTCGCTGTCAGAAGAATCGTAAAGTAGTTTAGTGAAAGAGCAATGTATAATATTTCGTTAGTTATACAATCTATGGGAGACAGCTTCTCTACCTCACAATATCAGGCACAACCTCTATACCTAACAAAAGTAGGGGATAACGTTTGCATACATCTTAACTTTCCAGACTCCACTTGTGGTCGCGGGATTACAGTAGGTGTATGTTGTTGATGTTTCAATTGTTTTGGTTGATAGTTCTTAGGATAATGAATAAATTATTTGAAATCCTTCTTAACCTTATCTAAGCATGAACGAAGGTTCGGATTATCTGTTGTGTCTAGGATTCATTGAGGTTTGTGTTTAACTAGGTAAAAAATCGTTTAGCAGAACCAGAATCATGAATTGGGCTAATATTGTTTTCTTTTGTAACCTTGGTGACTGAGTCAAGCTTTTGTGTGCCTCGACTAATTCCACGGATGCTATCTGCTTCGACCATAGAAGATATAACCTAATGTTTTCGCCTCTGCTAGTATTTAGAAGTGAGACCTCGTGGTGCTGTATCCACTTCATTAACCACTATACCTCACCATCGGGCTAATATTTAACAGCCCATGAAATACTATTGATCCTTCGTGATGCATTACTTCTTTTCCTGAAATATCATTGCAGAGAACAACTTTCGTTTTAATTATTCACTGTAGTTCAGTCCTAGAAGATGAGGAGGCAGCTGATGAAGTCGTGGCAGCGGCTCTGTAGGCTTATAATGGTAAGCCAGTTCAATTGAAATTTGACCTGCCACTAAGTCATGTTTATTAGCAATCTTGCAATTTATCTTCTTCTGAAGCTAAAATCCTTGTGTAGATATCTAGGCCCTTTGGAAATCCACTGCGAGATAAGGCGATAGCAGTTGCTGGAAGAGTCGCTATAATGGAAGAAGGAACAACTTTGAAAGCTTCTTGTCCAGTGTGCTTACAAGTTCTAAGCACACCACTTAATTCTGATCTAAAAATGACACTGGCTGTACACATGAGCTTATGTCACGCAGATGATGTTCAATTGCATTGGGAACTGATGCAAAACAAAGGAAGATCAATCGTTCACATGCCTTCTTTCTGCTTTGGAGCTGGGATGGCTGCTGGAATTGGTGCTCTGATGGTTATTCTTGCCAAAAGTCATGCTCAAGCATTTGGCAATAAGAGGTAATGTTTATCTCTAACTACGACTAAAAAGTATCTGTGATGATTCTTATTGTACTTTGCCGCTGGTTTTGCCTCAGTTATGAAGAATTAGCCTAGTCTAAAGCTGCTTTTTCGAAGTATTAGGAAAGCTTAAATAGATAGAAAATTCAAGTGGCTGAATGTCATATGCTCGTATTACTGAATGACTTAGGTTATATGAAGATCCATAGATGATATAGTCGTTAGAGACAGAAAAGTGGTTTCCTGTTTCTTCAAGATACCAAGGTGATATGAATTTTGTTCCAGATATGTGTCCCTAGTTACTATTTGGAGTATTTTTTATTAATGACCTTTTTAGTTCCTTACTCTTTTAAGCATGTCTGGGCCAGCTCTTGCACCTGCTACCGCCACCAACTCAAGTACTGATTGCTTATTGTTCTAGGTTTTGCTGAAATTTGAACATGAGACCTCATAGTTCTCGTGCTTCATTTACTGCTAGACCACACCTTTGGCTTCTTTTTTTGTTCCTTCCTTGCTCAATAATATCAACTCAAATATAAAGAATTTATTCGGGAAAAAAACTTAGAGAAAAGATCATAAATTATATTGATTAGAAACTAAAAGCTACTCATTTTCGAAAATACATGATGATTAAAAATTATTCTTGGCTTCAAATGTCTGACCATATTGCCAGTTATCCGGAGCAACATTATCAGATTGAACCCATTTGCCATCGCTAGTTTGTACTTGGAAAGACAAGCTTTGTCCTCCCAACTGCACATTAGCCTGCCAATTTTGTCCCCAATTCCGCGACATTGGTATCCATTGAGTCTTAGATCCTTTGATTTTGACATTGACAACATCTCCAACACCTCCCACGTTGAAAACAAGAACAAGAATCCAATTGGGATTCCCGGCGATCTCAAACTTGAGACCTCCTTTTTTCTGGCAAGTGACTCTTCTGTAAACAACTGGTACAACCCCTGCTGTTTGCTCTGCAATCTTTATGAACATAGGCATTGTCAGATCAAAGTGTTTTTGTGGTGGATTGCACCAATCGTCATTAGTTTTTTTGGAATTTGGAGGGCATAAATTGGTGGCAGTAACAATTATGACTTGGTCTGGATGGCATGCTTTAGGAGCATTGACACACTTTATTTGATAGCAAGCTCCACAGGTAGATCCTTTGTTAAAGAGTGCTGTGCTTAGTGCTGTTGTTTCTAGGCCATACCCTTGTTTGATTGTGTCTCCATAACCACAAGCTCCCTCTGCAATATAGTATTCAAATAAATTTTTTACCAATGTTAATATCTATGATATGAAAAATCATCAACAATAACATATCCAAGGAAATTTCACAAGTGAAGTCTGGAGAGGATAGAGTGTATGCATACTTTATAAAAACTTTGAAGTTTTTTATGCGTAGGTGAAATGCTTCTATAACATCATATTTCTCCAAAAATAACTATTCCCAACCTTTGAGATGGTTCATAGTTTTTTTTTTCAATTACTCGTGAGTGAACACAAACCATTAGCCTATTATTATTATTTTTATGTTCGTACTGCTTTTGCCAACCTCAACTAATTTCATGATATATTTATCAATAGTATAAGGTGACTAACAATGTATGTACCATTAGCCTATTATTATCAATGGAGATAAAAAGGCATTTCACCAACTAAACAAGTTTTAACTTGTACTTTCAAAGTTTCTTGTTTGAATGGTAAATATATTTTAACCATAATAATAGTAATTATGTCTAAGTCTCAAATAAATTAAAATTCAATTATATGAATCCGTTGTATTCCCTGATTATATGTATCCATTGACTATATTCCCTACTTAAATTCAACAAAAAAAAAGTCTATATTAATACTCCCTCTATTCCAAAATAAATATCTTTTTTGGGAATTCGACACAACCATTAAGAGAACGTTTATTTTAGAGGAAAAAAATATTATATTTTCAGAAATTTATTTTATTTTTTAAATTAGAAAGAAAAAAATAAAGAGTGTTATAACCATATATAATAAAAGAGTGATTTTTAATTTTTAAAAAATTATAATTTCTAGCTTGATCACATTGGTATCCCGATAACATACATAAGGAATTAAGGTACAAATATAACTTACGCATCGTTTGACCACCCCCCATGTCACCATAAAATGTAGCACGTGCATTATTCCATACCTGTTCATCCAAATTTCCTTCTACCTCTTTACTTTCAAATGCATCAACTAGAAAAAAAACAACAAACGTGATGAACAAAATGAAGAGACTTTGGTGTTTAGCCATTTAACTTAAACTATTTTTTCTCTAAACTAGTTTTTAGCTCTCTTGGTGATTTGCTTTGATTACTAGATTTTCCATTGACATACTTATAGCCAAGTATTCACTATGAAATAAATAATTTTTTGCCTATAGAATTGGGGGAGTTAATAACTTATTTGACCAATTGTTTAATGAGTAAAGTAGGATAAATGGAAATTTTATGGTTTGTTACTCTATAGTTTTGAGTCTTTCATGTAATTAATTGGAAATTTAACATAATCAAATTATTTGTAGAGGCAAAGTGAAATATAATTCTTTTATGATATCCAATAAGTATATGGCATTATGTTGGTATTATGACTGAGTAGTATATTTTAATAAGGAATAAATTAGTCGCACACTATATAAATTGCGTGGGTATCATATAAAATTGAACAGTGTTTTTTTACAAGAATGAATTTATCATCTATGATATCATGTCTATAAATGATATATGCTAGATTGATAACATAAAATGCTTTGTGTTTTTCTTGAAGATATGAAATTTTCACTCTTTTATAATATCAGTTAATATATGATTTATAGCATTTGAGTATCATAATATACAATAATTATATAACGAAACTAGTATTGATTTGGTATATTCAGTTTTAGTTACCTTTTCTTTGGTGTTATAGTAAAAAGAGAACAAAAATAAGGGAAGCAGAAGTCTCAACTAATAAATAGTAGTTATAAAAAAAAAGTTCAAAAAAGAAAGTGACTGAACTTCTTTTTATAAATTTAATTTTTTTTCATCCTTAGTTGAGTATCTTTAATGTTATTAACAAGGAAAAAACTATTAGTTGAGCGATCGAGATATTAACTCTCCAATTGAATATAGATTCAGTCATCCAGATTGGCAGCATCTAATATCTTCTTTCAACCATTCTTCTTCTTCATCTCTTCATTCTTTCTGTTAATTCTTAGAGCATTCATAAATGGCAGCCTCACAGAATCCAGCAGTCATATTTATTTAACGACATTAAATGAGTAATTATCTATTATTCACATGTCATCTTGCTGCTGGTAAAATTTATGTCTAATTTCGACTAAAAGAATCTTTTTTTGTATTTTTTTCCTCAATTCTTTGTTCATTGTCCACTCAAAAACAGAGAATTTATTTGGAAACAAAAAACTTGGAGAAAAGATCATAAATTATATTGATCAGAAACAAAAAGCTACTCATTTTCGAAATTACATGATGATTAAAAATTATTCTTGGCTTCAAATGTCTGACCAAATTGCCAATTATCAGGAACAACATTATCAGATTGAACCCATTTGCCATCGCTAGTTTGTACTTGGAAAGACAAGCTTTGTCCTCCCAACTGCACAGAAGTCTGCCAATTTTGTCCCCAATTCCGCGACATTGGTAGCCATTGAATCTTAGATCCTTTGATCTTGACATTAACAACATCTCCAACACCTCCCACATTGAAAACAAGAACAAGAATCCAGTTAGGATTCCCTTTGATCTCAAACTTTAGACCTCCTTTTTTCTGGCAAGTAACTCTTCTATAAACAACTGGTACAACCCCTGCTTTGTACTCTGCAATCTTTAAGAACATAGGCAATGACAGATCAAAGTGTTGTTGTGGTGGATTGCACCAAATGTCATGAGTTTTTGTGTAATTTGGAGGGCAGAAATTGGTGGCAGTTATAGTTATGATTTGGTCTGGATGACATGCTTTAGGAGCATTGACACACTTTATTTGAAAGCAAGCTCCACAGGTAGCTCCATTGTTAAACAGCGCTGTGCTTAATGCCGCTGTTTCCAGGCCATACCCTTGCTTGAATAAGTCTCCATAACCACAAGCTCCTTCTGCAATATTAGTAATTCGAATAAATTTGTTACAAATGTTAATATCTTTGTTATGAAAGTGTCTGGAATTTGTTTATATTAGATCGGAGGGTGTACAAAAGAAAAATAACTTACGCATGGTTTCGTTACCACTCATGTCACCATAAAATGTAGCACGGGCATTATTCCATCCCTGTTCATCCAAATTTCTTTCTACCTCTTTACTTTCAAACGCTGCAACCAAAAAAATAACAATAAATGTGATAAACAAAATGAAACAAATTTGGTGTTTAGCCATTTTTGCTTAAAACTATTTTTTCTCTAAACTAGATTTTAACTCTCTTGGTGATTTGCTTTGAATAATACTTTTGTTATGGACATACATGCTTATATGGCCAAAATATTCACTGTGTAGTAAATTTCAGTTTCAGTTTTTGCTAAAAGGATTGGGGGAATTAATTGCTTCATTTGACTACTGGTTTAATGTGAAAAGTAGGATAAATGGAAATTTTAGTAGTCTTGGGTCTTTAATGTAATTAATTGTGAATTTAACATAATCAGATTATTTGTAGAGGAAGTAAACCAAAACATCATAACTTATAATTGCTTAGTAAATATCTAAAAATAAAAAATAAAAAAATTCATTTCATAGGCTTGTCTTTATAAAAAAAAAGTTTAACGAATGATCTGAAAAATAAAATAAATAGAGATTTTATTTGGAAAACAAAAAACTTACAGAATAGATCATATACTAGAGTGATTAAAAACTACTGAATTTTCAAAAATACATAATCCCTAAAAATTATTCTTTGCTTCAAATGTCTGACCAAATTGCCAGTTAGCAGGAGCAACATTATCAGATTGAACCAATTTGCCATCGCTAGTTTGTACTTGGAAAGACAAGCTTTGTCCTCCCAACTGCACATTAGCCTGCCAATTTTGTCCCCAATTCCGCTTCATTGGCACCCATCCCGTCTTAGATCCTTTGATCTTGACATTAACAACATCTCCAACACCTCCCACGTTGAAAACAAGAACAATAATCCAATTTGAATTCCCTTTGATCTCGAACTTGAGACCTCCTTTTTTCTGGCAAGTAACTCTTCTGTAAACAACTGGTACAACCCCTGCTTTGTACTCTGCAATCTTTATAAACATAGGCATTGTAAGATCAAAGTGTTGTTGTGGAGGATTGCACCAACTTTGACTAGTTTTTTTTGAATCTGGAGGGCATAAATTGGTGGCAGTTACAGTTATGACTTGGCCTGAATGGCATGCATTATTAGGAGCATTGACACACATTATTTGAAAGCAAGCTCCACAGGTAGATCCTTTGTTAAACAGTGCTGTGCTGAGTGCCGCAGTTTCAAGGCCATACCCTTGCTTAAACAAGTCTCCATAACCACAAGCTCCCTCTGCAATATGGTAATCAAAAAAAGAAAAAAAATTTGTTACAAATGTTAATGTTTATGTTATGAAAAATAATCATCAACAGTAATCTATTTTCACAAGTGAGGTTTGAAAAGAATAGAGTATATACAGACCATATTTTTATCTCATGGACAATGGCGTAGCCACATGGTGTCTAATTGGTCGCTGTTCGTCAGAAAATTACATTGTATATATATGTCAAATTCTTCATTTAAAAGATATATATTTAAATTTGGACAACCTTGACAAAAGTAATGCTACCTTCGCGCAGTGGTAGTTAGTGTCCATTTAAATAATGGAGTTTTGGGTTTGAACACCATATCACAATATTTTTATTATTTTATTTTGATAGTCACACTCCATTATTTTTGGACACACTTACTCTGACATTGTTCGTGAAAATAGAAAAATTGTTTTTAAATGGCTCTAGGCTCACACATTATGAAAATATATATATATATATATATATATATATATATATATATATATATATATATTAGGCTTTAAATCTATTTTTCATCTTGAATCATTAAAAAAATGTACGAGAAATTTATTTATATGAAAGTTAAGGGTGTACAAAAGAAAAAGAAAAAGAACAACTAAATGAAAATAAAATAATTTTCTTTTTGTTAGTACGCGAAATGTGATGGGAAATTAATTCAATTATGGCCTATATGTTTGCTACATGAGATATCGTGTTGTAACATATTTTAATATAATGTTGTGGCAAATAACTTTAATCAAATATCAATTTTAAATATTTTTTCAAAAAATAAAATTCATAATTTTATTAATATTTTAACACCACGATAAATGTCTCGCCAATATAAGTAAAAAATTAAGGTAGATCTTACGCATAGTTCCACCACCGTTATTGTCACCATAAAATGTAGCACGAGCATTTATCCATCCTTGGGCAGCCAAATTTTCTTCAACCATTTTACTTTCATATGTTTCTACTAAAAAAATAACAACAAATGTAGTAAACAAAATGAAAAAACTTTGGTGTTTTGCCATTTTAGCTAAAAACAATTTTTCTCTGCATTAGTTTGAACTCACTAGTTGATTTGTTTAGGATAATAGCTTTGTTGTGGACATACAATTTATAGTCATATGGTAAATTGGATGCAAAGGAGTTAATTTTTTTAAATTGAATTAAATTAATTGTGATTCTTCACAATTAATTAGTATTTGCATTTAAGTGCTAATATAGGAGTTTTAAGGAAGCAAATCTGCATCAGTTTAATTTTGCTAAAAGAATTGGAGGGTTAATTGCTTCATTAAGTACTGAGAAAAGTAGGATAAGAAGAAATTTAGTGATTTGTTACCGTATAGTCTTGGGTATTTAGTGTAATTAATAGAGATGTTTATTACTAAATAAATAAAATTAAATTAAAAGAGAGAGAGCGCACCATAATGTATAGTTTCATAGTGAATATAGTGTGTTTAAAAAATAAAAAAATAAAAATAAAAAAAAGAAACTTAAAATTCATTTGACTTTCATATAATTAAATGGAAGGCAAAAAAAGTTGTCTTAATATTATCAAAAGTTAAAAGTGGTGTTTTCCTATTTTTCATTTTTTAATTTAAATGTTATTGATATGTCACTTTTTAAAAATTACAGTTAAAATTTTTCTTTTTTTTTTTATTTTTAATTGAATCTATTTGACTTGACATATTTATTAAATAAATAATTATTAATATAAGTATTTTATCTATCTTTATTGAATGATATTTAATAATTAAGTTTTGATAAATAAGTATTTAATGTTGAGAGTACTACATGAAAAAAATATTATTATTTATTTTGCTATGTTGAAGATAACAAATAAAAATAAAATTTATTTTAGAAATAAATGACAGAGCAAAAATAAACGAAAGTAATTTTTTAAAGTTAAAGTCAAACATGCTCTCAGTGACAAGTTCCTCGTTGTTAAATTGCCCCTCAGATTTTATAATAATCCTTTTTAGAGCTTGCTTAAATCATAATAATAAAAATTTACAAGTGTATTTTTTTAGTATAAGTAAAAAAACTTAAGTGACATATATAAAATGAAGGGGAAGTTAGGAGTTGTATTATGGAAAAGTATTTTGAAAATTAATAAATATCACTCATCAGTAATATTTACAAGTATTTTGGTAGGTAATTTTTGTTTTACTTTGAAATTATTGTTTGATCATAAAAATTATACGAAAATTCTTTGTAAAAAAATAATAATATACTTATGAGTTCATAAGTAGATGAGTGCATAATATGGTATATATCGAGATATTATATTATATTAAAATTTTAGTATTGATACTTTGATATTATGGTATTTGTTGTGGTATATGGTCTACATTTTAACTTTTTTTGGTATTTGATATTTGAAAATAACATATCAAAATATCGAATATCATTTCAAAGTATAGTTAGATAAATAACATATGTATTATTAAAATACTAACAAATATACAGCCTAGTATTACAATAAAATGTTTAGAAGTTAAAATTTTGACAACACTATTTTGATTCAAATGTAATTGATTAACAATGGAAGTTATTTCTACTTTATTAGATATATATTTTATATATTTCGGCATGTGTAATTTATTAGCGCGATATAATTGAGATCTTTTTTAATTGTCAAAATCGTAATACAAAGTATATATTAGTCTAAATTGAACAAATTATGATTATCGATTTACTATACTCCAAAATATCAAAATCGAACTTCAATACCGAATCATACTCAATTAAAATAGTATGATAATGATATGATGTTTTAAAAATCGAATACCAAAATTACCATATGTAAACTTTCAAATACTGTAGTGTACATAACATGCCCACCCTATCTATTACTTTTTTAGGGTCGATTAATTTATTACGCCCCTTTATTGGAAAAGTTACACGCTTAAATAAACTTATATTATTTAATTACTAATTAAAGCTATAGTTCGCTATAATTATCACCCACGATTAACATTATTCGTTAATTACGTGGGCTGATTTCGAGTTTGTATGATCAATCACGTTTGTATATGTATAATTCGCCACATTTGTATAATTCACAACTAACAATTCTATGTTTGATTTGTATTTGTATAGGATTGTTTGTATTTGTATATGACGATGATTTCCTTTAATTTTTCAGTTTTGTCATCATATACATTCAATTTTTTGTTTATAACTTTTTTAAGTTTATATAAACATGTAGTTTTTGTATTTTGTATAATATAATTTATATAATGTAATTTGTATAATTGTTTAAAGTTCATATGTTTGTATCAATTCATTATTTCGAGTTTTATTATATTTGTATAATTCCATGTTTATATTACTCAATAATACAAAAACGCGTGTATTATACAAATGTACCTACGAATTATACGAACGAGATGCGAATTATAAAAAATTTGTTCTCTCTCGCTCGTTTCTCTCCTTCCTTTCCCAAGCTCGTTCGCCTCTCTTCTTCCTCTCCCTATCTCTCTCGCTAGAATATATGAATACATATGTATAATATACTTATCTAATCAATATACACATATTATTCACCGCTCTTCAAATCTTTTCCCTTTCTCGCTCGCCTCTCTCCTCCCTCTCCCATCTCGCTCGCCACTCTCCTCCCTATAACAAATAGCTATAAATTGTAGTTAGCAAATTATAGCTATGAAACATAATTAAGTTATTTTTTAAGTGGCTATATGCGAAAGTTTCTCTATTTTATTTAGGCATGATGCATAAACATCCTCTTAACTTGACTTCAACGGAAAACTATACCCTCCAACTTTAGTGTGCATAAGTGACTCTTAATCTTGTATAAGATGGAACAAGTAGACACACATATTCTACATAGCATAATACAAGTAGAACACAAAAGTTTCATACACGATGTCATGTAAGATAAATATACATTTATTTTTTGAGTCTTTTACAAATTTAATGTCTAGTTAAAGATCATAGTTATCAAATGTTTTGACTTTAGTTAAGAATATGTTTATTAATTATCTCTAATCTATGGCATATTACATAAGTGGAATTTTCCCTCTTAATTTCTTCCTTCACCACAAAAGACAACTTTACCAATTTTTACTTTTCCGAAGAATTCTCCTCTTCCAAGATCGTCGGCGAGGTTTTTCCGGCGAAGCTGCTTCAGCACGGTACCCTTCTGTCGGAATTCTTTTAAGCCCTAATCAGATGATAGTACATATATGTGCATTCCTTTGAACTAGCTTAGAAATCGATGAGTGCATTGTAGATTCTGCAGTTGTATTTGAATATTTTGCGTTTAATTTTATAACAAGTAATGAGATAAATTGTTCTATTCCTGCTTTTAAATAGGTTGCTCTACAGTTGCTCATGATAATGCTAATGTGGGTTTTGTAGTTTAATCGCTCGTTTTGGCTTAATAAAGTGTTGTTCATTGAATCTGAAGCATCAATGGACCTGTAAGAATTTTGTTAGGAAAAGAGAAAAACATGGAGAAAAAAAATGACTTTTAAGTTGGAGTTGGTTTGCTATCAGAAGAATCGTGAAGTAGATTAGTGAAAGAGCAATGTATAATTTCCTTTAGTTTAATTTTACTCAATGCTCCAATTTTTACATTCTTATTTTTTTGCCTGGTTTGGTAATGCGTCGTTGTGTCGTGTCGAGTTTCTATCGCAAAAACCTCTGGAGACGTATGGAAGGAGACGTTGTGCAAGCCGAAGACTTTGACAGGTGTCGGTAGGCACGCCTCTAATAAGGGCTCGATCCTGAGAATCAATTCCAGTTGAATCAATGGAAGTGAGACCCTCTATGCTCTTAATCTTTAGAGTGCATATTATATATAGGATAATAAGTCCATTGCTTGTGCCCAAGACAAGGTAAGATGAATAGGAATGTTGATGGGGACATAAGGCTCAGCTCTTGAGTTGATGGCCCATGGAAGGGAGCTTACTCCAAGATCTGACTCCCCCGTAGGAGTTCGGGAAGGTCAGAAGTAAACAAAGAATGGTAGAAGAGAATAAAGTGTTGCGCCCCTTCTTTTCTGATGCCCCGCTCAAGAAAGAGACTCAAGTCCTAGTAGCCGGATAGATTCTACATCTTGAAAGCAAGTCAATTTTGGCGCCACTTTATGATAATGAGACCAACCAGCAAAAAGCATTAACGCTGCAAAGACCAAAGCCCCAATTGATGTACATAGAGTTGTAATTCATTAGTTATCCAGATGCTCGCCAAAGCTGAAAAATATCAGAGGTTATTTGTATTCCTCGGAAACCTTGCCTACGTCACCATTTAATATTTCTTGGCCCACTAGCCAAACCACCTGGGCACTAGGCCCAATGTGCATCTGGAAAGCGCCAGTTCAAATCTGGTTCGTGATAAGGCCTTGATCTATACAGATGGGATCCCGACCTTTTACCTCACAAAGCCAGTGGTACATTTCTAGACCGTGCTTGTGGTTGTGGGATTACACATCGGGTATGTTATTGTTGTTTCAATTTTTTTGGTGGATATTTCTTCAGATATTGAATAAATTATTCGAAATCCTTCTTAACCTTATCTAAGCGTGAAACTGCTGAAACATAGGTTTAGACTTTAGATTATCGTTTTGTCTAGGATTCATTGAGGTTTTGTTTAACTAGGTAAAAAATCATTTACAGAACTAGAATCATGAATCTGGCTAATATTTTTTTCTTTTATAACCGCATTGCCCGAGCCAAACTTTTGTGTGCTTCAACTGATTCCACGGAGTATCTTATGCTCTACCATAGAAGATATAGCCTAATGTTTTCGCTTCCACTAGTATTTAGACGTGAGAACTCGCGGTTCGCTATCCACTTCATTGACCACTAAACCTCACCACCTGGTTAGTATTTAACAGCCCAGGAAACGCGTGTTGAACTTTCCTGATACTTTATTTTGATTTATTTCTTTTCCTGAAACATCATTGCAGAGAACTTCTTTCATTTTGACTATTCACAGTAGTCGGTCCTATAAGATGAGGAGTCAGCTGATGAAGTCTTGGCAGCGGCTCTGTAGGCTTATAATGGTAAGCCAGTTACTTCAATTGAAATTCGACTTGCCACTAAGTCATGCTTATTAGCAAATCTTGCAATTTATCTTCTTCTAAAGCTAAAATCCTTGTGTAGATTTCTAGGCCCTTTGGAAAGCCATTGCGAGATAAGGCGATGGCAGTTGCTGGAAGAGTCGCTATAATGGAAGAAGGAACGACTTTGAAAGCTTCTTGTCCAGTGTGCTTACAAGTTCTAAGCACACCACTTGATTCTGATCTGAAAATGACACTGGCTGTACACATGAGCTTATGGCACGCAGATGATGTTCAACTGCATTGGGAACTCATGCAAAACAAAGGAAGATCAATTGTTCACATGCCTTCTTTCTGCTTTGGAGCTGGGATGGCTGCTGGAATTGGTGCTCTGATGGTTATTCTTGCCAAAAGTCATGCTCAAGCATTTGGCAATAAGAGGTGAAGTTTATCTCTAATTCCTACTAAAAAGGGTCTGTGATGATTCTTTTTGTGTTTTGCCGCTAGTTTTTGCCTCAGTTATGAAGAATTAGCCTAGTCTAAAGCTTCTAATTTGCAGTATTACGAAACAACAAACAGATTGAAATTCAGGAGCTTGTATTACTGAACGACTAAGGTTATATGAAGATCCATAGATGGTATAGTAATTAAGACAGGAAAGTGGTTTTCCTATATCTCTGTGATACCAAGATGATGTGAATTTGTTTTCTTGTGCTTCATTTACCTCTGGACCACACCTTTGGCTTCTTTTTTTGTTCCAGATATGTGTCCCTAGTTACTATTTGTGTATTTGTTATCAGTGACCTTTTCAGTTCCTTAATTTTTTAAACGTGTCCAGGCCAGCTCTTGCAACTGCTACCTCCACCAGTTCAAGTACTGATTGCTTAATTTGAACACGAGACCTTATAGTTCTCTTGGTTCATTTTACTGCTAAACTACACTTTTGGCTTCTTTTTTTTGTTCCTTCCTTGCTCAATGTCACTCAGAAATAGAGAATTTATTCGGAGACAAAACACTTTTATAAAAGATCATAAATTATATTGATTAGAAATTAAAAGCTTCTCATATTCCAACATTATCAGATCGAACCATTTTGCCATCGCTAGTTTGTACTTGGAAAGACAAGCTTTGTCCTCCCAACTGCACATTAGCCTGCCAATTTTGTCCCCAATTCCGCTTCATTGGCACCCATCCCGTCTTAGATCCTTTGATCTTAACATTAACAACATTTCCAACACCTCCCACATTGAAAACAAGAACAATAATCCAATTTGAATTCCCTTTGATCTCGAACTTTAGACCTCCTTTTTCCTGGCAAGTAACTCTTCTATAAACAACTGGTACAACCCCTGCTTTTTTTCTCTGCAATCTTTATAAACATAGGCATTGTAAGATCAAAGTGTTGTTGTGGAGGATTGATTACACCAAACATCTGTAGTTTTTGTGTAATTTGGAGGGCAGAAATTGGTGGCAGTTATAGTTATGATTTGGTCTGGATGGCATGCTTTAGGAGCATTGATACACTTTATTTGAAAGCAAGCTCCACAGGTAGATCCATTGTTAAAGAGTGCTGTGCTGAGTGCCGCTGTTTCCAGGCCATACCCTTGCTTGAATAAGTCTCCATAACCACAAGCTCCTTCTGCAATATAGCATTCAAATAACTTTGTTACAAAAGTTAATATCTATGTTATGAAAAACCACAAGCTAGGTTCCGAGAGGGTACTGTTATGCATACCTTACCCTTATTTCGTGAAGGTAGAGAAATTGTTCTCAAAGGACCTTTACTCACACGTTATGAAAAACAACACATCTTTGGCCTTTGAAAATTTTATTCATTTGGACCAATAAAAGAAGTGCTAGAAATTCATTTATATTATAATTTAGGGTGTATACAAAAGAAAAAGTAAAAATAAATGAAAATCAAATAATTTTCTTTTGTTAGTGTAGCTTGCTTAGATTGTTCATCCTAAATCTGGATAGAGGAACCCTACGGTATGCGAAACGTGATGGAAAAATCATTTTTGGTCTATATGTTGCAAAATATCTCGAATCTCGTTGTAATATATATATATATATATATATATATATATATTTTCAAATATTTTTAAAAAATAAAATTTCTAACTTCGTCACAGATCTCGATATCAAGACAGTGTCTCACCAACATATATACTGAATCAAGGTACAAGTATTACTTATGCATGGTTTCATTACCCCATGTCACCATAAAATGTTGATCGTGCATTTTTCCATCCCTATTCATCAAAATTTCCTTCAACTTTTTTACTTTCAAATGTTTCAGCTAAAAAAAGAAATAGCAACAAATGTGATAAAAAAAAATGAATAAACTTTGATGTTTGGCCATTTTAGCTAAAAACATTTTTTTCCCAATTAATTAGTATTTGCCTTTGTGCTTAGGTAAGTTCTAAGTAAGCAAATCTACATCAATTTTATTTTTCTAGAAGAATCGGACAGTTAATTACTTCATATGTCTTGTAGTTTACTGAGAAAAGTAGAATAAGTCGAAATTTAGTGATTTGTTACTGTATTGTCTTGGGTCTTTTGATGTAATTAATGGAGATGTTTACTAAATAAATAAAACACAAAAGAGACAGTCCACTAAATCATTATAAGGTATAATTGCATTGTAAATAAAACTACTTTTAAAAAGATATAAAATTTATTTGACTTTCATATATTTAAATGGAAAATAAAATTATCTTATTATTTTATTTTTTTTAATGAATAATTGAATAAGAAAATAAAAGTTGCATAATTTAAAATTTTGGCGGATGAAAAGCAATTAGTTCTGGATTTAGAAATTGTAAACTATGTCTGCAACTATTATAGCCTTAATGTGAGGAAACAATTATGGGGTGTAAATTACAATTACAAAAATGTATCTTTCTCTTTCTTAAATTTGATTAATTAAAATCTATTTATGTGAGAAAATAGGGGGATTCTAAAAACCTGAGCAAATAGAAAAGAGGAAATAGTCAAAAGTCCCTCCAAGCTATCACCAAATTCTCAACTACACACTTATTCTTTATGAGGATTCTATTACCCCTGAACTTTTCTAAAGTGAAATATCTATCCATACAAACTTAAGCCTTGATTTTTAAAAGTGAAATTCCTCTAATATTTAGTAAATTGGCCCATTCTTTGCTTCGCATGAATGCTCATTTTATAAAGTTATTATTATCCTAAACAAAACAAAAAACAAACATATTTTCCCACTATAATTTCTTGGCATCAAACTACTAAAAAAATATTGGTAATTGCATTAGTTTTCATAATCTCCTAAACGCAAATATATTCAACCAAAAAAAAAGTATTTAGAGTTAAATAATGTTGAATGAAATTTTAATACGGATAAAAACATAGGTACTGGATAAAAACTCAAAAAAAAAAAAAAAAAGAAGAAGCTGGTGATAGAGATTTATTACCTTTGCTCCATATTTTTTAAGGTTTTTAAAGGGAAATTTTGACTTAAAATTGTTTGTTACGATATCAAATTTCATAGAAAACATCTTATTTCTTTTTTACCCCCTATACTATTTAATGTGCCACGTAGAGACATTATTGTTTATAATTATACAATAAATATATCATGTGGACACATATAAAAGTTTATTTTCAAAGTTCAATATTGTTAAATCAATATATATATTTCATTTTTTCCCTTTATAAATGCTACATTATGTTCTTTTTTAAGTTCATTATCATCTTTCTTCTCACGCAGATCAACTGTAGTATATTATTAGGAGAGAAAAAAACACAGTAACAAAATGATCATAATTTCCAATGTTCACTCAAAGATAACAAAATTTTATTCGGAAAAAAAAAACACTTCTTTAAATAAAAAAATTTTCCAAAATCACCAAAAATTATGGTTTGCTTCGAACATTTGTCCAAATTGCCAATCACGAGGAGCAACATTATCAGATTGAACCCATTTGCCATCGCTAGTTTGTACTTGGAAAGACAAGCTCTGTCCTAGCAAAGGCTCAGAAACATCCCATCTTTGTCCCCAATTCCGCCTCATCGGCACCCATCCCGTCTTAGATCCTTTGATTTTGACATTAACAACATCACCAACACCACCCACATTGAAAACAAGAACAATAATCCAATTAGGATTCCCTTTGATCTCAAACTTTAGACCTCCTTTTTTCTGGCAAGAGACCCTTCTGTAAACGACTGGTACAACCCCTGCTTTGTACTCTGCAATCTGTAAGAACAGAGGCAATGACAGATCAAAGTGATGTTGTGGAGGATTGCACCAAATGTCTTGAGTTTTTGTGTAATTTGGAGGGCAGAAATTAGTGGCTGTTATAGTTATGATTCGGCCTGGATGGCATGCTTTACGATCATTCACACACATTATTTGAAAGCAAGCTCCACAGGTAGCTCCATTGTTAAAGAGTGCTGTGCTGAGTGCCGCTGTTTCCAGGCCATACCCTTGCTTGAATAAGTCTCCATAACCACAAGCTCCTTCTGCAATACACTATTCAAATTAATATCATCATTAAATAACTATGTCAAATAGGCGGGTTTGATTAAAATTGGAGATATTGAAATAGAAAACCAATTGGGTTCTGATCTGTCCAATTTTACTTCGAGCTCAAATAGGCTAGAAATGGGTTGAGTCTTGACCTAATCTCTATGATTTAACATATTGATATTTAACTTTTATAATCATAATTTGAATTTCCGCTCAAGAATTTTTTGTATAAAAGTAACAAATGGATAAATAAATCCTAAAAGATGTTAAATAGATAATAATTCATCACTTAATATAAGAAGATATCTTAATAAAAAAATTTAAAATGGATTGAAGTTGGAGATTGAATTAGGCTCATTTGAGGATTCTCTTTAAATTATCTTGAGCTCAACCCTTAAAATTCTAGACAGGTTACCAATTTATTTTTAACACCCTAATATATAATATCAAATAATTTTTAAAACGAATAAAATTTCTAGCTTGATCACTGTTTCAATCCTATGTTAAGTGTCTGAACAACGAACGAAAAATTAAAGCATAATTATAACTTACGCATAGTTTCACCACCACTCATGTCACCATAAAATGTAGCGCGTGCATGTTTCCATCCATGGGCTTGCAAACTTCCTTCGTTAGATTCATATGCTTCAACTAAAAGTATAATATAAAATGTGATGAACAAGATGAAGAAACTTTGGTGTTTAGCCATTTTAGCTAAAACTATTTTTCTCTAAATTTTGATTTAATTTGAATAATGGCTTTGTTGTGGATATACAATTTATAGCCATAATATTCAGCTAAAATTGAGTAATTACATTAATGAGAATGGATAATATTGTGATTGGATATAATGGAGTTACCATTTGGAAAATTAAGTTACATGATATTTTTCTATTTATTTAACTCATTTTTCAAGTTAAATTAACAAATTATACAACAAAAAAAATTATAATTACAATTATTCTCATCGTCAACAATATATAATGGAAAAAATACATTTAAAAACTTACATAATTTAACTCAAAAAACAAATAATAAAACATAAATTTGAATTGAAAAAGTACCATATAGTACCAATGTTGCGAAGTATTATTTTTGAAATTTAATAGACGCTAATACTCATATTCTTATTAGTATGAAAACGTATACATATTTCATCAATTAGAATGAAGTAAAAAATAGAATAATAGAAAACCAAAATACAATAAAAAATGGTCAAATTCAAATATTCGCATTATAGTTTATTTCTTTACATTTTCTGTCTCATCTTTTCTTTATACGTTTTTTTTTCCCTTCTACGTTAATTTATTTACATTACTTTTTCCCTTGTACGTTAATTTATTTACATTACGATCAATATAATTGATAATCTTTTTTTACCAAATTCTTTCCTCTTTTTAAAAAATCTTTAAGTAATTATTCTTACCATTTAAATGATTTATTATTGTTATATATATAACTTTGAGAAACTAAATATGAAACAAATTAAATGAATCATTGTTTCAATTTAAACCTAAATTTCCACCATATTATATGGAATCTTTTCTTTCCTTTTTTTTTCTTGATATATTTGTTTTCTTTTCGGTACTCCTCTATTAAAAAAATATTCATTTTCATTTCCTCCCTTCACTCTAGTTTCTATATATTGCTTAATCCTAAGATTACTAAAATCTCATTAAATTAATATATGTGGATCATAAAATATTATTGTTTAATTGGTAAATTAATATTTATTAATTTAAAGTTTTGAGATTCAACGTTGTGATGTTGGAATGATAAAAGTTTTCATGGTGCAGTTCGCTAAGATAAGATTGAAACTTTTGGATACAATAACGTTTTAGAATTAAAATTTAACGAAAACACACACTATAGGATCATATTTTATTATAATGTCTTAGATTTATTTGTATTTTAAAGGAAATATTAATTTATAATATTAGTGGAACCATATATTTATCTAGCGATCTCTTAAAAATATATTGTCTTATAATCTTATTGAAATGTGTGATTTTTCCATTGCTCCAAATTAAAATCCGTGAAAAAAATAATCTTGGAAAGATTATTAATTTACCATGTATTAATTTAATAAGATTTTACTTGTAATTTTTTAAAAACAATTATCTCGTCCTAATTTTATAAATTGAATGCAAGTTGATTACATTTATTTCATGGCCAAAGGAAAAAAACTAAAAAAAAAATTAAATAAGGCAAACATACAAACGGACATATAAAAAGATAAAATGCACAAGGAAAACAATAGTTTCCTTCTTGTATGTCGGGGTAATTTGGTAATTTCAAGGTTTCCTACTTTAAAATTTTGTCTTTTCTTACTTTCTATAAATTAAAAAATTGTGCAAAAACTAATATAAATCATAAAAATTAATAGCTTAAAATATTTTAAAACATATAAAAAGTTTTAGTTAACTCTCAAATTTCATCTATATCACATAGAGACATAGAGTGTAAAATATGTCGTAAATTATAATAATTAATAACAAAAATATAAAAGATAACTTGTGAAAAAAAATGATTGACATTTAAAATTTCATTCTTGTTACATGAATCAATACAAAGAGAGTAATAAAAAAATTGATTGACTTTTGAAATTTTATTTGTATAACATAATCAATACAAAGAGAATTATAAAAAAAATTAATTATCTTTTGAATTTTTTTCGTATCACGTAAATAAAAAGGAACATTCACAAATAGCCTAATTACTCTCCATATATATAGTTAGATTATTACATTAGCTACATGTTAAAGGGAGGAGGGAGGCGAGCAAGAGAGGACAAAGAGTGGAAGAAAGATGAATTGTATATGTATATCGGTTAGATAATTGTATATTATATATATGTATTTGTATATATGACAATCGAGATTGTAAGAGAGATGAGACAGGCGAGCGAGATTGGGAGAGGGAGGAGAGAGGAGAGTGAGAGAGGCTAGAGAGTGAGACAGAGGTGAACTGTATACATATATCGATTAGATAATTGTATATTATATGTATATATGACGAGCGAGATTGAGAGAGGAAGGAGAGATGTGAGCGAAATTAGGAGAGAAAGAAGAGATGTGAACGAGAGGGTGCAGTGAGTGGGAGAGAGGTGAATTATACATGTATATTGATTAGATAATTGTATATTATACATATGTGTTTGTATATTATGGTGAATTATATACGTATAAATATAGCTAATTATACAAATTCGAGTCAGCTCACGTAATTAATGTATAATGTTAGTCGCGAATAAAAATTATAACAAGCTATAACTATGATGAGTAATAGGTTAAGTTGGTAATTCTAAAGCCCATTCATATGATGGTCTTATCCTTTTTGACTCGTGAAACTTGAAGAACTCTAAACCAAGTTAATTGTGTTGCGACTTGATTAATCAAATTTGTCTTTTAATTTTTTTTCTCTGTCTTAGGAAGAAAAAGGGGCATAGACTACGTAGCAAAGGAGAAAATGGAAAAGAGATCGTTCCACAAAATAATATAATTAAATTTAAAAATATTAAATCACATTAAATTAAATTGATATAATAATAATAGCATGATTTTATGAATAAAAAATACATATACTAAGTTTTCAATACTCTACCACGCTCACTCCTAATAAAAGCACAAAATCTTTTTAATCTAAATAAGTTATAAATCATTATTTAATTTCATATACCATGTATAATTTGTGTTGTATAAGTCCATGGAAAGAGTTTTAATATATAAATATTTTATTTTCGATTCAATTATATATAAATTCAAATTTTATGTAGATATACAAACATAAATATATACATATGCGAATGTAGTTTTCACAGATACAGACACTCGATTTGTACAATCACTAAAATCTATACAAATCAAATGTCTGCAATTTTATACAAATCAAAGCTGCTTGCGTCTTTTATACAAATCTCATGCTTCATAGCAAACATAAAATTTGTTATGGAGTGAAATCATGAATTATAGCTATATCATATAAATATAATTTTTTGCGTTTGATAAATCCAAAATATATTCTATAATAAAAGAATTGTTAAGTGATTTCCATTATTTTCTATTGGGCTTAGCTAAAAATATGGGAAAATGACAAAAATTCCTTTCTTAAGTTAACTTATTACCCTTATCTCCTATTAATTTTAAAATTACCTAAAATTTCTTATGTTAAGTTAAATGAGGCGGATACAAAAATCTGACAAGAATAGAGGCGCATGGAAAAATGTGACAAAAAATAAGGCAGATACAAAAAATGTGATAAAAAATCAGATGAAAACAAAAATGTAAAAATGAGACGGATACAAAAATATGACAAAAAGTGAGGCGGATACAAAAATATGATAAAAAATGAGGCGGATACAAAAGTGTAAAAACAAGGCGGATACAAAAATGTAATAAAAAATGAAGCGGATACAAAAATGTGACAAAAAATATATAATGTATCCGCTACTTTTTTATTGTATCAGCCCTATTATGTATTCGTGTTTTTGTATATTTTTGAGAAATTTTGGTCATTAAAAACTTATAAGGGACAAATAGTCATTTAGTCCTAAAAGTATGTTATTTATGTCATTTGTCCTAAAAATATTGACATATTTTATTTTTTTAAAAAAATAAACTGAACACCAAATAAACGCTTAAGATTCCAACGTTGGGCTTTGTAAATGGGCCTTTACCCATCTATCTAGTTCCTATAAATATGTAAACCCTAGTTCGTGATTCCATCTTACCAACAAACCCTTGCTGAGAGCAGAGAGTCGCGCAAGCCGCCGCAAGGAGAAGGGTAGCGAAGCGAAAAAATGGAGCCGGCGAGAAATGTGAAGGACGTTTCACCACATGAGTTCGTCAAGGCGTACGCCGCACATCTGAAGCGCTCCGGCAAGGTATGTTTTCTTCTCCGGGAATACAGCGGGCATGATGTACTTGTATATGTGTGCAATTTTTGTGTTAGCTTAATGTCTTGAAGTCGATGATTTATATTGCATTGCGTTCGCTATGTTTTATATGTGAAATGCTTATACTTCGGGCTAGAATGTCCCTTGATATGGTGGTTGAACTGTAGGATTTTGGGGAGTCAGGTGGTTGTTCATTCTATACATTAAGTAATAATATCACCTAGGCTCTATAGAATCATTGGAATAGTATGTTGATTTTTGTTTTTGCACTGTAAGACTTGTGATAAGTACACAAAATGTATCTGATTTTACTTGAATCTGCTGCTGCGTTTTGTTTTAAGGCATACGGTCTGTTTATATCTTGTTTGGTTGCCTTAGAATGTGTAGTCTTAGGGTGATAGAATGAGATTGCCTTTTATCTACGGTAGAGACTGATGTAAAATCATATATATGAACGGGCTAGCAGAATAATATAACTAAGCTCTCTAGAATTATGGATAACAATGTGTTGATTTCTGTTTAAGTACTGTAATTACTTGTTGTAAGTAATAAAATTTGTCTGATTTGTACTTGAACCGGTGCTGTGTTTTGTTTGAAGGCATACACTCAGTTTATATCTTGTTTGGCTGCCTGTGTAGTATCAAGGTGATAGAATGAGATTGCCTTTTATGTAAGCTAGAGGCTGATGTAAAAGCATAGATATGGACGTTCTCAGCAGAACACATTAGCTTTTGCTCAATGTGTATTTGTGATGAGGAATTCATTGATTATATACACTTATATTTAGAATTTAGTAATTAGTACTTGAATTTGTG